CCCGACCACTCGAACACCCGTATTTGTCCATTTCTCATAAATCTTTGTCCCTCTCCTGTCCTCTATCATCTAACTATCCTTCCCACCTGACTTGACTCTCCATTCTTAGATCCTCCCTCTTCCTATTTGCTTTAGACTCTTGTCTTTTGTAATGATTTCTTTTCTTTGTCTTCATTTCTTGATCACCCTTAAATCTTGATTTACCTCAGTAAATATGTTTTTTTTTAATTTATTTATTTTATTTCTGCATCTGTCCTCCTCCCTTGTTTTCCTGCAGGACACACAGTCCAGCAAATTCCACTTCACTTCAGTCAGTTGCCTTCCTGCTGTCACTCTTTTGCTCTTTTCCCCGTTCTTTTCATTTAAGCATCTCAATCGTTTCACTTTTGACGTGCTGCTGCCACCATTCCTCTGCCTCCACTAATCTTGTTTTTCACTCACTTGGCCTCCTTCTGTTTCTTCTTTATCTATTTCTTCTCCATCCCTTCACTAGCTGCAATTTCCTCAACCCAATCTAGCGTTTCCCTCCCACTGTCTCCCTCACTCTCTTCCTCTCTTTTTCTCTTCTTTCCTCTGTCTCTTGTTTGCTCCTGTTTGCTTTTGTTCCTTTTTTTCTCCCTGTCTCTTTCCTGAAGATGTCATTTAGTACTTGGAGCTCTGGAACAAGAAATCATTGTGCCTCCCTAGGGATGGGGGGCAATCAAAAGAGGAAGAGCAGAAAAGGAAAGAGAGTTCTGTGTGACTGAAAAATGGAAAGTAGAGCGAGGGGACAAGGGAAGAAGCAATCTAGAAGAGAGAGAGAGATTAAGAGGGAGGGAGAAGGATGGAGAGAAACAAAAGAGGGAGGGGGCGGCGAAAGTTCAGCCTGGCATCAATAAATCACTTACGAGACCAAATCGGGCGGGGAGTACATGTCTGTGTGAACGTGTGTCATGCATGACTGTACACACACACACACACACACAGCAAAATCTTGCAGTCAGGAAGATAAACAGCCTGTGGCCATAATGATGTTGTCATGATCTCTGTATGCATGTCATTACTGGCTATAACGCCTTGTTGGGCCTGCTGCTAAATGTGTCTGTTAAACATGGCATGGCAGCATTTTATAGCACTGATACTTTACTAATATTGTGGCAGAAACGGCGCAAGAATGGATGGAAAGAGCAGTGGATGTATGTAGATGAGGAGGAGGAAGGTTTGGAGAAATAGTTTAAGAATATCACGACAGACACACATCCATTATAGGAATCACTGACCCCAGTAGAACGTGCATGCACACACACACACACACACACACAAACACACACACTCTTGCGCTGTGTGTGGGCTGGCTGTGACCACAGCAGATGCCGTCCATGAATATTTTAGCCAAACTCCCTGGCAGAGTTTCCATTTGCATGGACCAGATGTAAGCGGCTGAAATATTTACCACACCGGCCCTGGGAGGAACGGCCCACAGACGTGTGCGTCTGTGTGTACATGCGAGCGCGTGTCCACATTTGCATGCACGTCTCTTTGTTTTTCTGTCCTCAGTCTTGGCTGTGCATGTGTGCGAGTATATTCATCAAAGTGACAGTATCTTTTTTTTTTTTTTTTTCCAGACGGAGATTGCCAAGCGGTTGAATGTGATCTGTGCTCAGCTTATCCCATTCCTGTCACAGGAGGTGTGACGCAGCACACACACACACGCACACACAGATACACACAAATCACATACACACCCACACACAGACATTCACAACAGATAGCAGCCCCATTAAAATGCAAAACAACTTTGTCGTCACTGACCTGGGTTTCTCTTCCACAGCACCAACAACAGGTGGTTCAAGCTATGGAGCGCGCCAAACAGGTGACCATGGGGGAGCTAAATGCTTCGATAGGGGTACGTGGGCTCCCCCCTCTGCCTCATAGCGTGTGTACCTTATATTCCCATTTATTTATTATTCCTTCCTTTCCTTTTCCTTAAACTGAGGCAAGAACTCTTAGGCCCACAAACAAAATTTTATTTATTTTCCATATGGCCCAAAATAATAACATTTAAAGATCGGCCCAAATGTTATATTCCAAATATTATTATTTTTCATGAAAATAAATTAAACATAATACCACCTTCCTGGTCTTAGCATTCTCCTCGTGCAGTACCAAATCACTTTCTTCATCCTTTCACCTATCGAGCACTTCCCCTCAATACACTTCCTCCAGTGTTTGTAAGTCACCCAGATCTCTCTCCTCTGTCTTCTCTCTCTTCCCCTCTTATCCACCCTCTGTATAGCAGCAGCTCCAGGCACAGCACCTCTCCCAGCATGCCCAAGGTTTGCCAGTGGGTCCACACCCATCAGGACTTTCCCACCCGGGCTTGGCACTTGGTGGAGGATCCAGCCTTTTGGCTCTGTCTGGGGCTCTGGGAGCTCAGTTGGCTGCCAAGGATGAGAGAGCACACCTTGAGGCAGCAGCGGCTGCTGCTGCTGCTGCAGAGCATCACAGAGGTACAGTATCACACGGATTTCTGTGTGGCTGTAAAAAATAAGAATAAGTAACTCTCAAGAGCCGGGGCTTGGTCAGGCTTGATTTCAACCTAAAAAATTTAAATGGTTTGCTGAGCTAAACTGCGGAGGAGCTTGGCTGCATTTGTTGTCATGATTGTTTTTTGCCAAGACACAGGAGTTTTGATGGTAATGACATTCATCAGGGGTACTTTCCACTGAGTCGTTATCAGCTACACAGACAAGAAGTGATGATAAACATGTTTTTTGTGTGTTTGTTGTGCGTCTGTTTTTGTATGTTTTCACCCTCTTCTTACATGGATGTATTTTGGTGCTGCCGTCTGGAATGAACAGATCGTGAAGCTGGACCAGTGAGTACAAACCAAAGTACACACAAACACACACAGGATTGATTGGCTGTGGATCTTGTCATGTTGCCTGTCACATTCATTTCACATTCAACAGTTACTTTAGCCTTATTAAATGAAATTCAAAAGAGTTTTGAGATATATAATTAATTTAAGACAATTAGTCATTAATCTAATTTACTTTTGTAACAGAGGCCAATTCGTGTTGCTATTAAAAAAAGGCTTAGTTTCATTGCTGTGCTTTAATGAACAAAACTCTAGTATTTTCTGCTGCCTAAAAGTGGTGAGCTGCAAATCGATGCAGACTGATATTCTCTTACGTTCACCTCTGCAGATTACGAGCTGATGTGATATATTGCCCTTTTTCTTACCTCATTATTGTCCCTTTCTTTTGCCCCGTCCTTGCCCTCACTTCCCTTTTCTTCACCGCTTCTATACACAACCTCCTCCTCCACTTTTTTTTTCTCACACCTCCCTTATAACCTTTGCCACACTTCTTTCTTCAATCCTTTCTCGATTCAAACCTTTCCTCCCTTCACCTTGAACTCCGTCTGCCCCGGCTTCTTCTCCACAGAGCTCTCTGTCCAACGGTGACAAGGGTCGATCCGCAGACTACCTCAGCAACGGCAAGAAGAGGAAAGCCGAGGAGAAGGAGTTCATGACAGACTATGTGAGAACACTGTGGTGACATTTCTGCATTTATCTAATTAAATTTACCGAACTCTAGGTTTGTCTCTGTGTAAACAGTTATATATTAGGAATGTGAATACAGCTATAGGGGGTTGAACATCCAAACATGATTATGACATTCATCCTTTTCCTCTACTGTGCTACCTTGTGATAATTTATTTACAGTTTATTCACTGTATGTGTGGTCATCTATACACTTCATAGAGCAGATTAAAATATCTAATCTCACACTTTTTCTTGTTTATCTCACACAGGGCAGTGATGCGGATAAGAGTGATGATAATTTGGTGGTGGATGAGGTTAGTATGCAGCCACTGGCCTATGTTGGCCTCACTTCACTGCCTTCATCTGCATACATCATGTAAACACACCCAGAAGGACCATCCCAGTAATCATAATAACAACAGTAATACCCCAGGTTCTCATTCTGCTCAGCCTGGCATTTTGTTTTATAGCACACACACTTCACTGCAGCTCATCTATTCATTTTTTAAAAACCCTTAATTTACAGTGCTGTTGGAATGATGATGTCTAATAAGAGGGAAAAAAAGACGGCATTGTTGTGGATACTGTATTTCTCCCAGTCTTTTATATTTAATTGTTCATGTATTTTAATCCCTTTAAATGTGTCTTCTTCTGGGTCAAAACTCAAATGATAGTGGTGTAGTATTAGCGATGTCCTGGGGCTGTTCAAGGACAGATTCAGCTGCAATCCCGGGGTGTGTGAGTCTGACTCTCAGGGATTCAAGCACCAGATACTAGCTGACTGCCCTCTGGGAATTCATTTGGAAGTAGTATCATCTTTAACCTGCTAAAAGTTAGCTTATCAACCCAAACCCAAAAAGAAGGTGTATCACTAAATAGAGCGGTTTAGTGTACACAATCCCATCAAGAATGCCAAGCTGAACTGTACATGTAGTACTAGTTGACTGTTCATATAAACATATATATATATATATAACATATACAACATATTAGAGAGTAGTTCTCTTTTAGTTGTATCAAGACAATAACAGGGTTTATGTAAACTATTTATATTTATATTATATTCTTTGTATTTCAACTTTCAGGACCCATCGTCCCCCCGCAGTGTACAGTCCTACTCATCCAGAGAAAATGGTCTGGACAAGATGCCAACCTCGCGTAAAGAGGGACCACCACAGGCCAGTCCCACCTCCCTGGCCTCCTCCAGCAGCGCTGCCTCCCCCTCCCGTGGCAAAGAACCCCCGCAGGTAAACAACCCATCTGAATAAAAGCACACATAGTGCTTAGAGTTCACGAGCAGTCTACATGAACACACACAGAGTTGAAAGACAAATATTTGAGTCTTTTTTTTTTTGGTTCTAATCCTGGCGAGTTCCACACATGCCTGTGGGGAGTACACGATATATGTTTGAGTAACGACCAGCAGTCTGTCTATGTTGTTGGCACACATTGTATTCTGCCCCTTTGTTTGGGGTCAGTAGTTCATCTTACATTCATACAATGTATATTTATCTTCAACACACACTGTGCTACGGATGTCCCAGCACTTCTCGGGTGTCCCCCGCCCTCAGCCGTCCTATTCATGGGGATTTTCAGTAGTACGACTGAAATTACTCTCTCTCTCTGACAGTCTGTGTTTATTTTTCATTTGTACTTTGTTTTTCTCTTATGTGTTTACAAATATGTATACTTTTTTTTCTGTTCCACTAGCGGGAGAAGTCCAGTACTCCAGGTATGAAACCAGGGACACCCATGTCTCAGGAGTCCAACACCCCAGGACCAAGTGGACCCCCTCAGTTCAGGCCTGTCCCAGGAAAACCAGGTGTTGATCCTCTAGGTGAGATTGTCTTAACCGCTAAATTCTAATACCTGAAAAGTATTGTTGAACCATGGTAGTATTTAACAATAAAGAATGGCTCCATGGCCTTCATACAATGTAAAGGACATGACACAAACCTCTGGCCTTCACTCTATGTTGGCGTTTCCCCTCCTCCCCCCCGCCCCACCAAAAAAAAACAGTGTTTAGAGACATGTCTTTTTATCCTGTACTGGCGTTATAACAAGAAGCGACTTTGTCAACATGCAGCTACGGTAGTTGGTAGGGGTGTGAGCCAGCTCCTCACCACCAACCACCATCTGGACTTAATAAGCAGCTGTGGGCGAAAAATATTCAGTGAGCTTCACTTCTTAAATGGAAAGATTAGGAGAGGTGATGGACTGTGACCGTGAGCTGCTTCATAATGAGCCTTTATCTATTCCAGTGTGTTCCTCTCTCTCTCTCTCTCTCTTTTTCTTCCTCTCATCACTTTGCTTTAACACAGCCACGTCACCGTGCATGCATATGCATATACATATAGTGTACATATAAATGTTGATGTATGTGGGGGAGAAGGATTCAAGGGATGTTTCTTTATGCACGTGCTCACATACACATACACACACGGCTCGGTGCATGAAAGCATAGTAGCCAGCAGGGGTCAGTAGTGTTCTAGTGCTGCAGTCCTGCTTCTTGTGGCAGTTTTTTTTTTCAGCCTGTCAGTCACACTGACAGGGTCTGCAGAGGAAGACTCCCTAATAAAAAAGTGCATTTCATTCTTGCCTCTGTTGAAGTCATTCCTATACTTCTTAAAGGGAGTGGCATCCAGTATTATTTGCATCAGTCATTTTTCCACATCAGTAATCCACATTACATTTTCTTTCTCCAGCGTTGGGTCTCAGAAACCCTCTGGCAGTGCAGGGAGCGTACCCTCCCGGGGCATTTGGCCTGCCTCCTCCGGGGGTGAACGGGGACCTGCCTGGGGCGGCGGGCTACGGTGCTGGCCTCCACTTGGTTTCCCAACAGATGAACGGGCGGCGGCGGCGGCAGCTGCCGCCGGCTATGGACGGTCCCCTGTGGTAAGTTTGACCCTCTGCAGATAATTTGTCTTTCTAGTGTCACAGTGTCATGTGTAACACCTCAGCATATATAACTGTCAGACAGGGCAAAAAGAGCAGTTTTCACTGTGTAAGAAAAAGGACGAACCATCTCAGAGGAAGAAGACATCTTGCCTGTCATTTTTATTAAGAAACTTTGACATTTAAAAATCCCTGCATATTTCATATGATTTATGCATATATACAGTATGTATGCATATTTATATGTATGTATACGTATGTGTATTTTTATACTGATTTTTACTCATCTGTACAAAAAAATCCACAGACCACAACACTTTGCTTTTCAAACCTGCAGACGGATTCCAGAGGAACAAAGATAAACCTATTTTTGTTCCTATTCCTATTGACTCACCAGACCTTTTTTATCTTCCAGGTGGGCTATGAGTCTCCACACCCACACATGAGGGTCCCTGGGCTGCCTGCCAACCTGCAGTCAGCCGCCTCTGGAAAACCGTGAGTTTCTTCTTCATCGCCTCCTTTCATCAGAGTCATCACCTGTCTACTGTTAACAGCTCAGGTTTAACTCTTAAAACCATCAGAGGAAAGTAAACCTCACATTAAACAAAGATGAACCAGACAAACGTTGAACCCGCATAAAACATTTAACAGTTTTGCCACTTCCAGAAGTTTGGCAGTTGTGGCTCTTCTTTATCTTTTTACAATCCTCACGCTTCTAAAATATATTTATTTTGAGTGTTGGCAGTTTTGTTCCTGTCTCTACCTCCATTTTTGAACATTTTATACATAGCCAGTACTGAACTTATATAAGGAAAAAAATTAAAATAATTAAATAAAAGAGAGTTTGTCTAGAGTTAACTATTCCTTTTGCAGATCTTAACTGCTGCAGATGTTCAAGTCCTGTGTTTGTAGTCATCCAACAGAGATCCAATGGAAAAACTGTCAACTTCTGCATTAGTTTGAACCTTTATTCTTTGTTTTTCATCTCTGTCCACTACAGAGCCTACTCGTTCCACGTCAGTGCTGACGGGCAGATGCAGCCGGTGCCATTTCCCCCTGACGCCCTGCTGGGCCCAGGAATCCCTCGCCACGCCCGACAGATTCACACCCTGAACCACGGAGAGGTGGTGTGTGCCGTCACCATCAGCACCTCCACACGTCACGTCTACACTGGAGGAAAAGGTTGCGTCAAAGTGTGGGACATCAGCCAGCCGGGCACCAAGAGTCCAATGGCCCAGCTGGACTGTCTGGTGAGACATGATAGGAGGCGAGACAGTTTTCAGACTTCTATTTAGAGTCTGTTGACTACTTAGACATCGATAATGTTTATACTTAGTTTTTCACGCTTAAAAACACTTGAGCTGATAAATCATCTCAGTGCTGTTGTCCCACTGCCAAAATCCTCTAACGCTCTTTATTTATTGCAGTGATAATGCCGGAGCACTATGCTTAGCTCCACAGATGTGGCCCTGTGCCATAAATCACAGTGAACTACAACATACATCATTGATTGTAAATGTTTATATACTTTTTTTCCTCTAATTATAATTTATCAGAACAGGGATAACTACATCCGCTCCTGCAAGCTGCTCTCTGACGGAAGAACCCTGATCGTGGGCGGGGAGGCCAGCACTCTGTCCATCTGGGATTTAGCCACGCCCACTCCACGCATCAAGGCAGAGCTGACATCATCTGCTCCGGCCTGCTACGCTCTGGCCATCTCTCCTGACAACAAGGTCTGCTTCTCCTGCTGCAGTGATGGAAACATCGTGGTCTGGGACCTTCACAACCAGACCCTGGTCAGGTGAGAGGACAGCTTCAACACGGGAAATGTTAGAAACAGACAATGTTTCACGTGAGAGGAGAATTAAGTAGTTAAAGTACAGAGCAGTTGTTTTTATTCCAGCCTGTCAATCATAGAATTGTTGAGAGAAGTCAAGCAGAGAAAATCATTAATTCTTTGAGGAGAACATTTCTGTACAGGTATGTACGTGGGAGCTGTGAAAGAAATATTTTTGCCAAAAAACGTGAATCTGTTTCAAAGTACACTTTCCACCAAGATTCCTAACAAGGCCACAAACTCTTACAGGAGGTTGCACTCCTGATTGTAGCACTTCATCCGGCCTTGTAGTTTCTGTGAATATGAGCAGAAGTCTCCGTCCATTTTCCTTTCTGCCTCTGCTGCAGTCAGCTCTTTTTAATCCCACTTACATTAGGCTGACTGTACGTTACACACCTGTCGCAGTATTCGGTTAAAACTCTTATCGTAGAGTTGGCCGTCGTGACTTCACTGCTCTGTAACTACATCTGCAGCAAACAGAGAGGTGGTGGTGGTGGGAAAAAAAGGTCTTCTTCCATTCCACAGCTGGATTATCAAACTATAAACAGACAGCTTTTTTTGAGCAGCTTGGCTGCTTGTATATTAAAAATATACCCCACAAGAGGGCACAGCATACTGTACACTCTGCTGCTAAACCATAGAGACATTCATTAAGAGATTAGGACAAAAACAGTCTACTTCTAAAGAGAAAGATGGAAGTAGTCAGTCAGTGAGTGAGTGAGTGAGTGAGTGAGTGAGTGAGTGAGTGAGTGAGTGAGTGAGTGAGTGAGTGAGTGAGTGAGTGAGTGAGTGAGTGAGTGAGTGAGTGAGTGAGTGAGTGAGTGAGTGAGTGAGTGAGTGAGTGAGTGTGTGTGTGAGTGTGTGTGTGTGTATTGTCTCTGAATCTCCTGTGTCTCTCCCCCTCCCTGAGAGAGGGACGACAGCGTCAGCAGCACGACTTCGCCTCACAGGTCCGCACACACACACACCAACTGATGGCCATTAATGTAGCGACAGGTCGCTGATCATCATTAAAGCTGGATTCCCTCTGTCTGTCCTCTGTCTGCAGATCTTCTCTCTGGGCTACTGTCCAACAGGAGAGTGGTTGGCTGTGGGAATGGAGAGCAGCAACGTGGAAGTCCTGCACGTCTCCAAACCTGACAAATACCAGCTGCACCTCCACGAGAGCTGCGTTCTCTCCCTCAAGTTTGCCTACTGTGGTATGAACACACACGCACACGCACAGTGAACATACAGTGGAGATTGATGGTGTGGTTACATCATGTTACCTGAGGCTGTTTAATCACACAGAAGCAGAACAAATCTTCTTCCTCTTTTATTATTCAGAAACAGCTTCTTTCTATTCTGTACAAAAGCCCCTCTTCCTCCCAGACTCCCCCATATCTCTCCTCCCCCGAGGCTTTTATCTGTTGATGGCTGTATGTGTATCCTCCTGTAGGTAAATGGTTCGTGAGCACAGGCAAAGATAACCTGCTGAATGCATGGCGGACGCCGTACGGATCCAGCATATTCCAGGTAACTCATCAAACACTGTGGACATTGTGGACACTAAAGACACTGTTGACACTTGTAATTATTGACGACAAGAATGAAACATCAGGGATGTCCTGGATTTTTAAAGGGATGTGTTTAACAATTACTGCTTGAACATGGTGAACTACTGAGCCATGCTGTACTCTTTAGTATGGCATAGAGCATCTGCTGTTCTGTGGAGCTGTACACCCCTAACCCTACTTAGAGACGTGACACCACAAACTTAAAAACTACAGACCTAAGTCCATCAAGTTACCAAAGTGTGGGGTGGGATACACCTGGGGCCGGTGAGGCAACGGAGCCATGATGGTGGGCACAATAAGGCAAAGGTTCAAAATGTGTTTAATTTTGCTATAAAAGGAAAATTAAACAGATTTTTAATCATATATCCTTCAAGGGTTCTTCAAGGAATATAGTACCAATATACCAAATGGAAGAACAATGAGAAATGACAGGCAGGGTGCAGCATTTCACACTTTACTACTTATGTCTTCTGTGATTTTATTGTCTTTTTAAAGGACATTTTAATGAAGCCAAACGTCAGTGTGTTTGTTTGTGCCATCATGCTGATCTGACTGTTTGTCTTCTGTTGTCTCTGTCCGTTCAGTCTAAGGAGTCTTCATCAGTCCTCAGCTGTGACATCTCTCCTGATGACCAGTTCATCGTCACCGGCTCCGGGGACAAGAAGGCTACGGTCTATGAAGTCATCTACTGAACTCTGATTGGCTAAAAGAGTCAACCTCATAATCAGGGGGGGCGGAGCCATGGCTCCCGCCTGCACCAATGACTGTACAGAGCATCAGTGGACAAGAAAGCAAGAGACACTCTACTGTGTGCTTTATTGTTTTGTTTACGTTAGAGGACGAGTTGAGAAGGAGAAGCACGGGGACACAGTCACATCTCTGGAAAGAATAAACTGTAAAATGTTTTTAATGCTCTGAGAACGCTGGTTAGTCTATTCCTCCAAAGAACTTCTTCTTTTCCTTTCTTTATGTTTCCCTTTTTTTAACAAAATAAAACCTCTGTAGTTACAAGAAATTAGCAAAACCTATTTTTTTAGCATTTCGAATTTTTCTCAAACTGTTCGGGTGACATTGAGGAAAAATACTGGTAGGAGGTCGTTCAAGGAAGGCTGAGAACTTTTCATGGAAATATAATACTGATACTCTGTGCTGTGAAGAAATAAAAAAAAATAAAAAATTCTGTTTCAGCTTGGCCGGTTCTGGCCTGATTCGTGGCACGTAGCTGCTCCTCAGCACCGTAGAAGTCTGACAGATGGCAGGATTCTTGGCTTTTTTTTTTTTTTTTTCCTAATTGAATTTCAGCAGCGACATGATTGTATCATCAATACTGTATACATCACACAACAGGACTACGGTTCCTGTCAATTGTCATGAGCTCAATTTGTCTCGATCCCTTATCTTTTTTTTTTTTTTCTTACACAAAAGTACAAAGATGGTCATGTTCTCAGGAAGGTTTAAAAAAGAAAACCAGAAGAAAAACCTGATCCTGGGAAAAGAAATGTGAAAAGGATTCAAACCACATGTTGTCTGTCTCTTTCTTCATTGTTAACACTTGAGCCTAAATGTGATTTTTCTATTGTATTTGTTAGGGCACATGTTAGGGCAGACAGGTATTTTCACAAATACATCATGAACCTTGAACCTTCTATATATGGACGTGTAAATAAAGCTCTCTAAAGACAAGAATTCTGGACTTGGATTTTCTTTGGGAGAACAGACTTGTTGTGAAGCACTGAGAAAATGTTAAGCATTACTTTAAACATTACCCTCAGATATAATAAACCTTAAAATGATAATGAGCCGCTGAATGCTCTGGCCACTCCTGCTGGGGTCAGACATGAAAATGGCTTATGTAATGTAATAATTACATTAACATTACATTAATAACATTTTCAGTAAAGTTTTGGAAAAGTCATGACATTAATGTGTGGATAATATTTTAGATGTGTTAAACAACTAAACTGCTATAACATGGAACTAAAATTTAAATGCAATGGAAGAAAAATAATGTGTCCAATATTAAACCAAAACAGGACATGAACTGTTCAGTATTTCCATAAATGTCTTACACACCCTATAGTTATGCACTTTAAAAGTATTGTTCTACGTTTATTTTATTTCAGTTTAGTTATTCATTTATATTATGCTATATAAAAGTTAATTGTTGCACATAGGCAATAAAACATTTTGCTGGACAATATATCGTCCCACAAATATGACAATAAATGATTATATTGTCGACCAGTTTAAAACCAAAATTACCACTGTTGTAATTATAATATATCATAAAATGAAAGTATAGCCTTTCAAGTGCAAAAGCATTTATATGCCATGAGTATTTTTTTCGATTGTCAAATACGGAAGCAGACCGCAAACACACAAACAAGATATATGAGTACTCTAATAAAGAGGAAAAAAACACCTGCGGAAACCACAGGAGACGGACTAACCCCGCTGTTTGTCATTCAGTGACGTCATAAAGATGCGACAGATCTGTCGTCAGACGCCTAAAAAGCCACAGGTGTATGAAGTTTCTCCCTAATTGGCTGCTCGGTTGGTCCAGACGAGGACCTTAGATAAGCGACATTAGCTAAGAGACATTACGGTGTTTCCTTCTACAGTTGGTGTTTGGATTCAGTGAGTTTTTAAAAGAAAATGCTGACACTAAACTTGATCAACAATGTTTGCACTGAACAGATACGTTGGGAGTTCTGCACACGGAGAGCAGGTCGAAGTTGTCAAGCGTCGGAGTCCATTCCTGAAACGGAAAGACAAGGTGAGCGATCGGTTTTCTATTTAATAATTGTAATTATTTGTCAAATGTTGTGTCAAGTCCAAAACATCAGTACTTAACATGACGTGTCGGTTTATTTTCCAGATTGATCGTCAAAGTACAAGACGGTGAACAAGCTAAAGTTCAAGCTAACGCTCAAGCTAACGCTAACGCTCAAGCTAACGCTCAAGCTAACGCTCAAGCTAACGCTCAAGTTCAAGATCAAGTTCAAGTTCAAGATCAAGTTCAAGATCAAGTTCAAGATCAAGTTCAAGGTCTTCAACACGGTAAGGATCGTCGTTTTTTTTTCTATTTGCGGCTGCCGTGCCGCTGCTGTGGTTTTCGAGGCCGCCGTGCCTTCTTTCGGTGCTATTGTAGCGCCTCCTCTTGGCTGCCATGCCAACTTATCTGTCATTTACCCCAGTGTAGCCATTAGCATCTCAGGAACATTTGTAGTTTTAATTTATAGTTCACTGGCAGTTCATGCAACTGAAAATACCACAATTTTGATGTCCCGTCGCGGTCGTTTCCCTCCGTTTTGGACGTTGCGATCGTTTCCCTCCGTTTTGGACGTTGCGATCGTTTCCCTCAGTTTTGGACGTCGCGATCGTTTCCATAATGTTGATGTCCCGTTCTCCTTCCATCTCCACCATTTTGGACGCTTCTGTTGCTGTCGAGAGTGACTACCTGAGTTCCAGCTACATCTATCAACATGGACGCCCTGGACTCTGAAAGTCATGTGAATTTACGTGCCTTTGTACTTTTGTCAATTCTCTGTAATATTGTAAATGTACATTCTCTGTAATATTGTAAATGTACATCCTTTGTAATACTGTAAATGTACATCCTTTGTAATACTGTAAGTGTAAATGTAGGTTACAGTTAGACTCCTGTCAGTGTGTGTTAAAGTGCTTGTTATGTGCTGTTGGTCTGTTACGTCCACTCCTGGTCTTCAGTCGACTGTGTGATCAGCGATGTCTGTATGTGGTGTCCGAGTTCCTTTGTTAAAGGTACTCTGTGGTGGTGTAGGCTTCACCCAAGCTGTCCTGAAACAAGTGAGACTCCGTGGTTTTTCCTGTCCCAGAGGTGTCGGTGCTGGATTCATAACAACCCTGGAAACCTGGGCTGTAAGCTGGATGTGTCCCAGGTGGGCTGATGTCCTCAGGTTTGTTTTTCCACATTGCTGAATATGTTGACATTAGTCTGCTGACTGACAGGTCTGGTTTGTGTCTAGGATTCTGTGGACCAGAGTTCACCAGGCATGGAGAAGATGGATCCTGGTTTAAGATGGTTCCTGAGGTGAGCTGAAGGATCGACTTTCTACAAAGTTTTTATTTTGACTAAATGTTGAATGTCAATGTTGCTTGTCTTTGTCTTGGGTCCAACAGACCAGAGACTGGAACCTACAGTACATCCTGGTCATGACTGCACCCATGATAATCCAGACCTGCCTCCTTCCTACTGGTTGTGTTAAGGTTTGTACTAAACTATAATCCCTCTTCTGGTCAGTTTGTAGTACTGTAGAAAACTTACTGCGCTCCTTCCTGTTTAGGTCCTGACCTCCCAAGGGCCCAGACTGACCACAGCTGACAGGAGTTTCATCCTAACAACTGTTTGTTTTGGGTTTTTGTGTGTGATCATCTCCTTATCCCCATAGATGTTTCCTAAATTGTTAAATGTCCCATTGCGCTTATTGTTTTTACTGTCATAACAGTTTGGACTGTCAGCTCTGGCCAGTCTTAGATTTGTTCTGTGGTCACTGATGACTTCAACTACATGCTTGATCCCAGATTGATTTTTGCTTTGCTTTAGTTTACAATCATTCACAGTGTATTGGATGTACTGGATTTCCTTCACACTCCACTCCACTGCTGTCCTTCTCCACCTCTTTTTCCTGGTGCTGAAGGAAATCCAGTCATGAATTCTTACTGTGCTGTACCATGGAGGCAGTTTCCAAAATCAGACATGGATCCATCTGATTTTGTGACCTGGTCCACCCATTGTACAGCATTAGCCTCCAAAAATACTACTAACCACTCAATGTGAGGTCCTTTGTTTTGTGATCAAGCGTTTGTAGTTATTCCATCAGTGGCCTTTTGTCTGCATCAGTTCATGCTTGCCTTGGTTGCTGTTTAACCTTGATGTTGTGCATTAACCTCCATTCCCTTTGGTTATACTGTCATTTAAGATTTTAAAAATAAACTATGTAATTTAACACAATTGCACTGTCCATTTTATTCCTCCCTTCCTCTTTAATTTATGTTCAAGGGATTTAAAAAAGACAGTTTTCATGAAACCAAATGCCCAGTTTAAAGTATTTACTTGTCAGCATTTTAAACTTTACATGTTAGCATTTAAGTTTTACATGTTGTGACTGAAACAGTCAGTCATTATGTTATGATTGATTTCCTATCTGGTTGTCCCTTTACTGGAAGTTTTCAGTGCATGGACATAGCCTGGTTGAGTTAGACTGTAGTTGTTTGGTTGTTTAGACTGTTTGGTTTTTAAAGTGGAGTGACTGATCATTTAATATGTGGTAGCCAATATAATATGGTCGTTTAAAGAGCAAAAAATGGATTAACAGTTAAAAATGTAAAGAACACAGGAGTTGGGCCCCATGGTGGTCATGGCCCCAAGGAGCTCTGGTGTGTGTTCCTTATTTTAATTTCTGAAATATGTGTATATATTGTATGCCCATACATTCATACTGTATATGTAGGTGTATATATCGTCACCCGAGAACCAACAAGGTCTATCTGACACATCTATTTATTTTATTTCACTAAACTACTCCAAAGTTGGTTAGGTCCATCTGCAGCACAATACTATAGCTGTAATTATAACATACACAGGTCAAGGCAACTTTTACAAAGGTCTATATCCACATATTTGGTTCAGTGTTGGTAGCACAAAGGTATATCTCCTTCCAAACCAGTAACAGAACGGCAGTTGTATCATGTGATCGGAACATGGCAGCCAGAGTTACTTGGAAAGCCTATTCAAGTTATTTTTATCTTGCTATATTGTTCATTATATAGTCTTTAATGATTAAGGATTTAGTTCTATGAAAATCATTAACACGATAATAGATTTTGTATGGTGTAGTAGTGGATCTATTGCTGAGTAGGAAAATAGATCTATGCCTCTTAGTATTACCATAAAAATAAATAAAATATATAGTATAAAAATGTTTGTCATTATAGACTTTTGTAATCCCAATATTTTTCATATATATATAGTTACCAAGGTCTGTCTGCAAATTTTGTAACCCATTATTCCCAGTAGGCATGCAAATGGAAGTGTTAAGATAGTTGTTTTTCAACTTTCTAACTCAAAGTATCATATTAAATAATATGAATATATAGTTAATGATTTAAAGATTGTGGATATCTGGTTTTGGATTTTCAATCTCGTTTTTCTCAAAACTGCACTTGGACCCTGTTAATTCTCGGCTGACGATATGCACTGTATATACAGTGGGTACGGAAAGTATTCAGACCCCTTTAAACTTGTCACTCTTTGTTTCATTTCAGCCATTTGCTAAAATCAAAAAAGTTCATTTTATTTCTCATTAATGTACACTCAGCACCCCATCTTGACAGAAAAAAACAAACGTAGACATTTTTGCAAATTTATTAAAAAAAGAAAAACTGAAATATCACATGGTCATAAGATTCAGTATTCAGACCCTTTGCTCAGTATTGAGTAGAAGCACCCTTTTAGCTAGTACAGCCATGAGTCTTCTTGGGAATGATGCAACAAGTTTTTCACACCTGGATTTGGGGATCTTCTGCCATTCTTCCTTGCAGATCCTCTCCAGTTCCATCAGTTTGGATGGTGAATGTTGGTGTACAGCCATTTTCAGGTTTCTCCAGAGATGCTCAATTGGGTTTAGGTCTAGGCTCTGGCTGGGCCAGTCAAGAATGGTCACAGAGTTTTTCCGAAGCCACTCCTTTGTTATTTTAGCTGTGTGCTTAGGGTCATTGTCTTCAGCCACTAGGGTACAGGAAGTTTATAGTGCCGGTCCCAAGCCCGGATAAATGGTGAGGGTTGCGTCAGGAAGGGCATTCGGCGTAAAACGTTTAGCTACATCAAATATGCAAATCAATAAAACGATTTCATACCAGATTGGTCGAGGCCCGAGTTAACAACGACCGCCAACAGTGCCGTTGACCAACAGGGTACTGATGGAAATTGGAGTACTGTTGGTCAGAGACAGAGAAGAAGAGGAGGGCATTTGGTTAGGAGAAAAAGAGAAAAGACGAAGAATAGAAGTGTTAGTCTGAAGTTTGGAACTTTGAATGTAGGTACAATGACAGGGAAAAGTAGAGAAATAGCTGATGTGATGGAGAGAAGAAGAGTAGATATTTTGTGTGTGCAGGAGACCAGGTGGAAGGGCAGTAAGGCTAGAAACATTGGAGGAGGCTACAAACTGTTTTATCATGGTTCAGATGGGAAGAGAAATGGAGTAGGGGTGATCCTAAAGGAAGAATATGTAAGAAATGTGGTAGAGGTGAAAAGAGAGTCAGACAGGTTGATGTGTGTGAAGGTAGAAGTAGAAGGAGAGATGATTAATGTTGTTAGTGGTTATGCCCCACAGGTGGGCTGTGAGTTGGAAGAAAAGGAGAAGTTCTGGAAGGAGCTAGATTGGATGGTAGAGAGTATCCCCAGGAGAGAGAGAGTGGTGATTGGAGCAGACCTAAATGGTCATGTAGGGGAAGGGAACAGAGGAGATGAGGAAGTGATAGGTAGGTTTGGTGTTAGGGAGAGAAACGTAGAAGGACAGGCAGTGGTAGATTTTGCAAAGAGAATGGAAATGGCTGTGGTAAACACATATTTCCAAAAGAAAGAGGAACATAGGGTAACTTACAAGAGTGGAGGCAGGTCCACACAGATAGATTATATTCTATGTAGAAGATGTAATCTGAGTGAGATTAGAGACTGTAAGGTGGTGGCAGGTGAGAGTGTAGCCAAACAACATTGGATGGTAGTGTGCAAGATGATGATGGAGGTGACAAAAAGGAAGAGAGTGAAGACAGAGCAGAAGAGCAGTGGTTCACCAGTGGTGGAAACTAAGGAAAGAGACATGTTGTGAAGACTTCAGGAAGGAAGGAAGGGCAGTTCTGGGCCGTGTTGAGAAATTCCCAGCTGCAGTGATGCTAGGTATGTCCTCTGTGCAGAGAAAGGAGGACAAAGAGACCTGGTGGTGGAATGAGGAGATCCAGGAGAGTGTGCAGAGAAAGAGATTAGCGAAGAACACATAGGACAGTGACAGAACAGAAGAGAACAGACTGGAGTACAAAGAGAGGACAAGGGAGGTGAAGAGGGAAGTGGCCAAGGCCAAACAAAAGGCATATGAGGAGTTGTATGAGAGTTTGGAAACAAAGGAAGGAGAAAAGGAGTTGTATAGATTGGCGAGACAGAGAAATCAAGCTGGGAAGGATGTGCAGCAGGTGAGGTTGATTAAGGACAGAGAGGGGAATGTGATCACAAGTGAGGAAAGTGTGCTGAGAAGATGGAAGGAATACTTTGAGGAGTTGTTAAATGAGGAAAATGAAAGGGAAAGTAGAAACGAGGAGCCAGAGACTAGTAGGAAGAAGGTAGATCAGGTTAGAAAGGATGAAGTTAGAAAAGCCCTGAAGAGGATGAAGAGTGGAAAGTCAGTTGGTCCTGATGACATACCAGTGGAAGTATGGAAGTGTTTAGGAGAAGTGGCAGTAAATTTCCTGACTGGTTTGTTTAACAGAATTTTAGAGACTGGCAAGATGCCTGATGAGTGGAGAAAAAGTGTTCTGGTGCCAATTCATAAGAAGGGTGATGCACAGAGTTGTAACAACTACAGAGGGATAAAGTTGATGAGCCATACAATGAAGATTTGGGAACGAGTAGTTGAAGCTAGGTTGAGGCAGGAAGTGGAGATTTGTGAACAACAGTATGGTTTCATGCCTAGGAAGAGTACCACAGATGCAATATTTGCCTTGAGGATGTTGATGGAGAAGTACAGGGAAGGTCAGAAGGAGCTGCATTGTGTATTTGTAGATCTAGAAAAGGCATATGACAAAGTGCCAAGGGAGGAATTGTGGTTTTGTATGAGGAAGTCAGGAGTGGCAGAGAAGTATGTTAGTTTGGTGCAGGACATGTATGAGAATAGTACAACAGTAGTGAGGTGCGCTGTTGGGAGGACAGAAGACTTCAAAGTGGAGGTGGGACTACATCAAGGATCGGCCCTGAGCCCCTTCTTGTTTGCTGTGGTGATGGACAGATTGACAGATGAGGTCAGACAGGAGTCCCCATGGACTATGATGTTTGCAGATGACATTGTGATCTGTAGTGAGAGTAGGCAGCAGCTAGAAGAGAACCTAGAGAGGTGGAGGTTTGCACTAGAAAGAAGAGGAATGAAGGTCAGTCGCAGCAAGACAGAGTACATGTGTGTAAACGAAAGGCAGAACAGTGAAATAGTGAGGCTACAAGGAGCAGAGGTGGTGAAGGTGCAGGAGTTTAGGTACTTAGGATCAACTGTTCAGAGCAGCGGAGACTGTGGAAGAGAGGTGAAGAATAGAGTACAGGCAGGATGGAACAGCTGGAGAAAAGTGTCAGGAGTGATCGGTGGCAGAAGAGTGTCAGCTAAGGTGAAGGGAAAGGTTTACAGGACAGTGGTGAGACCAGCCATGATGTATGGTTTAGAGACAGTAGCAATAGGCAGAAGACAGGAGGAGGAGCTGGAGGTGGCAGAGTTAAAGATGCTAAGATTCTCTTTAGGAGTGACAAGAATGGACAGGGTCAGGAATGAGGTCATTAGAGGGACAACACAGACAGGAAGGTTTGGAGAAAAAGCTAGAGAAGCCAGATTGAGATGGTTTGGACATGTGCAGAGGAGGGACAGTGGATACATTGGTAGAAGAATGTTAGAGATGGAGCTACCAGGTAGGAGAAAGAGAGGAAGGCCAAAGAGGAGATATATGGATGCAGTGAGGGAGGACATGCAGGTAGTTGGAGTCAGAGTAGAAGATACAGAGAACAGGGAGAGATGGAAATCAATGATTTGCTGTGGCAACCCCTGAAAAAGGGACAAAGCCGAAAGAAAAAGAAGAACTAGTGTGTTCAGCTGTTTTTGTGTTCGACTGAATCTTTTCATTTCCACCTTTAGTTTTAAAGCAACACTAATCAGTGCAAATAACTCATGAACAAATACTACTTTGAGACTGACCAAAGCTCTTCAGGCAGCTGTGTTATGACTACAAGTTCTAATTTGGGCTCATCAGACCAGAGAATTTTATTTGTCCCCATCTTGGAGTCCTTCAGGTGTTGTTTTAGTAAACTCTATGCAGCCTTTCATGTGTCTTACACCGAGGAGAGACTTCAGTCGAGCCACTCTGTCATAAAGCCCCGACTGGTGGAGGGCTACAGTGATGGTTGACTTTCTACAACTTTCTCCCATCTCCCGACTGCATCTCTGGAGCTCAGCCACCGTGATCTTTGGGTTCTTCTTTACCTCTCTCACCAAGGCTCTTCTCCCCCAATTGCTCAGTTTGGCTGGACGGCCAGGTCTAGGAAGAGTTCTGGTCATCCCAAACTTCTTCTATTTAAGGATTATGGAGGTGCTCTTAGCAACCTTAAGTGCAGCAGATATTCTTTTGTAACCTTGGCCAGATCTGTGTCTTGCCACTATTCTGTCTCTGGGCTCTTCAGGCAGTTCCATTGACCTCATTTGCTCTGACACGCACAGTGAGCTGTAAGGTCTTATATAGACATACAGATATAGATATATGGCTTTTATAATCAAGTCCAATCAGTTTAATCAAACACAACCGGACTCCAATGAAGGTGTAGAACCATCTCAAGGAGGACCAGAAGAAATGGACAGCATGTGAGTTAAATATGAGTGTCACAGCAAAGGGTCTGAATACTTACGACCATGTGATATTTCAGTTTTTCTTTTTTAATAAATTTGCAAAAAATTCTGTCTTTTTTCTGTCAAGATGGGGTGCTGAGTGTACATTAATGAGAAATAAAATTGACCTTTTTTGATTTTAGCAAATGGCTGCAATGAAACAAAGAGTGACAAATTTAAAGGGGTCTGAATACTTTCCGTACCCACTGTATGTAGTGTGTGATTTAGAGAAGCCCAGAAAGAGCCGTTGTTGCTGGGTAACAGTTGAGAATGGCTATAAAACAATAACAGGAGATGCCTGAGAGGATGAACATGAGTTGGATTTATTTTTTCACACTTTTTTTTGGTACAGCACATGGGAAATGTATCAGGAAACAGGAATGAAAACACAGTGCATTAAGAAAAGAGGAACTAAACACGAGCTTGTCCTTTGTTATACTGTAGGAACAGAAAGCAGAGGCAGGAGAGAGAGAGAGAGAGAGGTCCCATACAACACCCTAAATATTCACGCTGTGTCAACAAATGCATAGCCATTATACAGCGTCGCTGTGAGCAGCGTACAAGCTCGTGGATGAGAGTATTCTTGAGTTTTCTCTGTTACTTACAGAAATAGAGACAGAAGAAGGCGTTAAAACTGTACAGATAAGAACGGACCCCTGGCTGCTACGGTGGCCACTGTTTGAGTCCCTCTGAATGTTCAGTCAATCCAACGGCTTTTAAATGCTAGCGCTGCATCAGCTCCATTTACAAATGTATTAAGTTGCATACTGTTCTGTTAGAATTCATATTTATCGTCAGGCTGGATATGAGAGCGACTGTTGTTACGGTGGGGAGTCCTGTTTGTTCAGCAGATGAGGAGAAACCAGCATGCAGTAAACAGAGTAACCTCAGTGATGAGCAGGTCTGGATCAGACAGATACTGTGTTAAAGTACACAAGGACTGGAAACAGACTAAAGTACATTCAAAAATATTTTCCTTTAAATGTGGTTTTTCAGAAAACAAAACAAAAACAGACTATCAATTTTGTGTGGGTTAACTGGTCAGATAAAACCACTGCCTGGAACTGTCCCCAAAATCTGAAGACAGTGTTCAAGAAAGTGTTTCACTGATGGTTTACTTTTTTCCTATCCACAGAAAACTACATATACATCAACATTATTTAAGAAGCGTGACTGACGTGTGATAAAAAATAATATGGTTGTTTAAATGTCTTCCTTTAGCTTTTTATGTTTACGTGTATGCTAAGTCTGAAGCTAGCTAAGAAGGGAATAATTACAGTAGGAAAAATAATTTTACCTAGTGGATGGTAATAAAATGAATCAAATTCTGTCAACACTTAAATCTTTACTGATTGTGTCTAAATATGTAAAATTGAAGAGCGATTCCTGAACATGATGAAGAAGCTCAACTTAATAAATGTATTTGACTGTTATGGTATATAAAATGTCACATTGTGATATGCTCAAGTAGACAGCCACAGTATGAAGCTAACGTATGACTGTACTTCAGTCTAAGCTAAGTTAGCTTAAGCCAGTACTTCTCAAATAGTGGGACGAGCCTCTCTGGGGGAGGGCGTGGTAAGGTGCTTCCAGTGTAATATGGCACGCATGTATCAATGCTGTAATGCTTGAATGAATGATGGTTTGTACAGATAAAAATATGCGCATTATCAGGTTCTCAATAGTATTTCAATTCGTAGTGGGTGGATCGTGAGTGGGTGGGGTGAAAATATTTCTGTCCCCAAGGGGGGTGAGGGGGCATGACAGAAATTAAATGGAGAACCACTGGCTTAAGCTAAGATGACATTTACATGGGATTACACAGATACTAGCAGGTGTGATTTGTTCCATACAGTTAGTGTCAAGCTAACAGATTTTGTATCCTCATGTTCAGGAGTTAGCCTGCAGCTAGCAGTAGCTTCGATCTTAGCATACACACATGAGATTATTAATAATATAAACAAACAAACAAAAATAAATGAAAATGTATAATTTTAAAAATCTTTTCAATCATTTTGAACTCTTTAGTATCTCAAATAAATGCAGCCATTAGCTTATCAAACAAAATTTGGCCTGTGCACTTTGACCACTAGGGTTCACTATAGAAGGACTGAGTTGAACTGTATTTTCTCTGTTTAATGAAGACAGAAAAAAGAAGTGTACAAAAATCAGACAAACATTTAATTCATAACTGCTGAGTACAGTTGCTGATGTTAATTTGCAGATTTTAGTTTGCTGTACAGTAGGTTAGCCTTGCTGCTATGTCATCCAGTGATGAGCGGCTGTCGTCAGGAGAACAGTCCAGAGGAAATAGAGGGGAACAGTTCAGCTGATGCTCTGTATTTGTGTGTTGGTCCTGGGAGGATCCAGAGACTCTGCTGCTCATTAGACGCTGCCTTTGTCTGACCAAACAAAATAGATATTAGGAAGTGAGATGGGGAGTGTGGCGATGAATGTTTAATTGGGTGGTGTGTGTGTGTGTGTGTGTGTGTGTGAAAGAGAGAGAGAGAGAGAGAGAGAGAGAGAGTGAGTGTTTGTCTTCTCTTTTCTACCTCAGGGGAGTGTGTCCAAGTGTGTGTTCTTGTTTGATGACGTGTTCCTTGTGTAACTATGTGTTGCTGTGTGTTAAAGTGTTCGGTGACATGATATGCAGATATGAGAAGCAGCCCCCCCACCACCACCACCCCCTGTCTCACCCTCCTCCTCCGTCTCACAGCGTCATCACTCCCCAGCCCCCGACACCTCTCGCCGGGGAGAGCGAGCTGCGGCGTCAGCCTCATTAAGGCCTCCACTGTCTGGCTAATGAATCGATTGTGTGGTATCAGTGCTCCTGGCTGCTGCTCCCACAGTGCCGCTCCCCACCTCCTCTGGGGGCCTCCCTTCCACTGAGCTCTTAATCAGGAAACAGCCCTAATTACCCTGCCCCCCCCCTCCTTCCTTTCATTTCTCTTCCTCACGCTTTCTCCTCATCTTTCCCTTCCTTTCTTCTCACGACTTTATCTTTATGCTCCACTGCCCTTTCCCTTTGTCCTTCTTATCTCGCCCCCACCCTCCCTCTCTGTCTCTCTCCATGCTACCATGCCTCATCCCTGGGCTAAAAGTGGAAGGCGGAGGAGAGAGGCAGCACTGGGAAGCTTCCACAGTAGTTTATATCACAGCAGAAAAAAAGGGGGCAGCGGGGCTGGTGGGTAAGAGAGAGAGGGAGTTAGAGGGACTTAAGAAGACGGAGACAGAGGTGCTGCAGCTGCTGATGTAATGAGGATTAGGAGTTGGCAGGGCAACCCACTGCACCTCCTCCTCCTCAGTCTCCGTCCTGTCATGGCGGGCCCTCAGTACACCACCTCATACACCGTGGCCTTCTTGTCCCCAGATCCTGTCACTATGTACTTGTCGTCCGGAGAGACGTCGCAGCTCAGCACAGACGAGGACTCCTTGGACTGGGAGCCAGGCAGGAAACAAGGCCACGCAGCCAGGAGGGAGAGACGGAGATATGACGATGGATGGATGGAGACAGATGGAGGGGACGAGGCAGAGAAAGAGAGAGGTTAGAAAAAGACATGAGTCATCATTTAATCCTCAGCCATTCAAGACATATTTGCATTTCAAAACAGTTTGCAATTATTTTCAAACAGACAACTGCACGGCTCCAGGATGCTGACTCATTCATCTGCTTCAGTGTGAAACAAGCTGCTCTTTATCTCCTTTTTTCTCCTCTCTCTGTCTCCCTCTGGAGACAAGCAGCCTCATTAACTGCAGGTTTAAGCATCACTGGCAGCACATTACTGATGGCTGCACAACTTCCCTTCTTTTCTGGCACGTGTCTGCAGGACCAGACCTGGACACCTGGCTACAGAGGATCTGAGGTTAGTCACTACTCTCTCTCTCTCTCTTTCTTTTACAGCGCCATCTCTCATTCCTGAATGCTCCTCTGTTTCCTCCTTGTCTTTGTAACACAGATTTAGAGTTTGTGCTAAGAATGACAAAGAGCATTTTATTATGTAAAACCAAATCACAGAATTTAGTTCAGAAGACAAGGGTTTAAAACACTGCCTCCCTGATTTCACAGAAGGTTGATGCTGAATTACTAGTTGGACTAGTTTCATCCACTTGTACAAGTTCCTTGTATACAACTGACTATAGCAGAGTAGTCCAGTGGAATGCACTGCTGACAATGGTGCAGGAGACCTGGGTTCAAATCCTGGTCTCAGTTAACTTTCTTTTTGGACTTAAACTTAGCTGTGGATGTCAAAAATGGACATTTTATTCACACTTGTACTCATACAATGCAGTCTTTCCCCTGTTGAATTATTTAGACTCATGGAGGACTGAACCTATGGAGACAATAAAAACGCAGATAAGGTCAGTAAAGTAAGACTGTACAATATAAAAGGTCAGACAAAAGGTCAGCGGAGAACTAAACGGACAGGGATTAAAAAAATTAGAACTAAAGATGGTGAGTCTTACAGAGAGCTAAGCACAGAGCAGTGGAGAGCGCATTTATGGATAAAACTGAGGGAGAGGAGTGAGAATGTGGAGCAGACAGTGATAAAACTGGAGAGAGGACGGAGAAGCTGTGTTTTCTACAGTGACAGGACAGAGACAGGAGGACGCTGGGCATTTGGATAACAAAGCTGAGAGCCAGCTTTCTCCTTCAAGTCCAGGGGGACAGACAGGAGCTGCCAACACTGCTGCCCACTGTAGCTTTAAGGAGTGTGACAGCTGCACACACTCACACACACACATCCCACTTTAGCTGTGACGAAACCTCAAACTCAGGTGTTAACCCCCACTACATTTAGGAAATAATAAGGGCTTTAACAAACGTTTTTTCCTCTCCCTCACAGGCGTATGCAGCACAAAATCACAATAATTCATATTCTGTATTTCTTTGTCTAGGTGTAGGGGTGAAGATGAAGGTCCTCAAAGACCTGTTCTCGTCTCCTACCTGGAAAATGCTGGCTCCGTACGGTGTCCTCCACGCATTCAGAAGATTGTCTTTTCCTGTGCTCACAAACCATTTGCCTAAAAACACACAGACACACAGGAGGTCAGAGAAGGAGGACCTGAGCTGATGGGATGGTTTGAGGATAAAATTATTGTATTGGGATTTCTAAGTAATGCTGTTTGTTGTTTTTTTTTTTAAATAAACTTTAAGGCCAGAATAATGACATGGTCCTGGAATGACTCCAAATGTTACAGGCTCCCCCTAGTGGTATTTTAAAACCACTCGTTAGGTTTGTGTCTCTTACATGGAATTCTATTAAGCTTTTTCTTTCACTATTACCAGAGTAATGGAAGTTAACCAAGGTCAAACTACTGTGGTTACTATTAATGGCCGGTTGTTATGATCATCTGTGGCAAAGGGTTTTGTTAAGAACACTTTGGAAAATCAATGTGTGTACAGAATGTGTGCGTGTGTGTTCATACCACAGAAGGCAAACTTGAGGGAGAGAACGCAGCTCTCGTGGAGGTGCAGCTGGTATTTGTCAGGTTTGGAGACGTGCAGGACTTCCACGTTGCTGCTCTCCATTCCCACAGCCAACCACTCTCCTGTTGGACAGTAGCCCAGAGAGAAGATCTGCAGACAGAGGACAGAACAAAAAGAAAAGAATCAGAGCATGTTGAAAGAAGGGATCGAGGGGGGAAAAGGAGAAGTTAGAAGGTGAGGTGAGCTAAACAGAAAGGAGTGAAGGTACAGAAATGAAAACAGGGCTGGAATGAAAGAGCGTTTGAGGAAAGATGAACGAGGAGGGAAGATAAGGTTGATGAAAGAAGAAGATCAATGAAAGGAAGTAGGAGGATGGATGAAGGAATTAAGAGGGAATGTGGGATAACAAGAGAAGGGGATAAAGATGATGAGTGAAAAGACGAAGAAAAAAAGAGAGACGGGGGTGAGTTAGAGTGAGACTTCAAGAGAGAGAAAGCCATTTGACGGTGGGTCGAAACTCATCTGGCACCTGTGGTCAACTCTATTGGCCTGATGTGACGGTGTCCGCTAAATAAATTTAAGGTACATTTTGGGTGGTTTCCAGCCCTGTGTAGAATCTAATTTTAGGACCGTTTCTGCTGCCAAGGCTCTGGGAGAAATCTCTCCAAATATAATCTCAGCCGTATCAAGACCTATTAATACAAATTAGAATTACATTTAATGCCAAGTGCATTAGCATCAAGTTTTAATAGACCCAGTGAAAAATAAGGGTTGATGCTAAGCCACTGCAATTACCCATGATGCACACCGAACCCACACTGAATAAATATGAGGAACCTAATTTCAAACTTTACATTTGATTAGCTGTAACAATGAACTAATTAGTAACTTAAAATGGTCTGACGTGATTGGCTCACATTTTTGTATTTTAACTTACAACAAATATCTGTAAAGTTCATTAACAGACTTTGTAATGTTAATTTACATTTAACATAATATTGACTTTATGTCATAGGTGTTTTTAAGGTCAAGGTTATCTTAAATGGAAATCTTTAGGTCCATCACAGCAGAATGTATTTTGTCAACTGGGGCTGCATAAATAAACTGGACTTGACTGGACTCAATACTGCATACAGAGCTGAGAGCCTGGTGGTGGGATGTGGAGCTGAAATGATGACATTAACCAAGAGGCATCCACACCCAAACACCAGCCTTTAAATCACCTACAGTGGTGGCTCCAGCTCCCTGTTCCATTCTGAGTGTGGGTCCTGTGAGCTAACGGAGGTGTAGCTAATGAAGCGGCTGAGCTGAGCTTATCTGTGTGTGTGTGTGCGGACCTGTGAGGTGAAGTCGTGCTGCTGCAGCTGTCTTCCCTCTCTCAGGGCCGAGCAGCGGACCGTGTTGTCCGGTCCTCCCGTCCACAGCTTGGTGCCATCGTTGGAGATGTCGATGCAGCTCGCTCCGTCTGTGTGACCCTGGAACTGTCTGAGAGGGGGAGAGACACAGGAGATTCAGAGACAATACACACACCAGCTCACTACTTCCATGGCCTTCCTCTCTGCCTCTTATCTCTTGTACATGTCAAACCACATATATTTTTATCCCTCCTTTTCCTCTCTGCTGCCCTCACACCACCCACATGTGACCGAACACACACTCTTGACTTGACACAATCCTCTATCTCTTTCTTGTATTTTTTTTTTAGCTCTACTTTGCCAAATTCTTCCCATCCACATCCTCTCTGGCTAACTCTACACATCTTCCCTCTTTTTTTTTCTTATTGACATTGCTTTATTTTCACTTCAAAAGTTTCCACAACCTCTTCTCCTCCTTCCTCTCCTTTCTCACAACATATTCTATTTGTGTAAGTAGGGCAGCAGCAGCAGAGTTTTTAAAGTTTTGTTTCCCCGTCCTCTCACCTGACCAGGGTCTGGTTGTGAAGGTCCCAGACCACGATGTTTCCATCACTGCAGCAGGAGAAGCAGACCTTGTTGTCAGGAGAGATGGCCAGAGCGTAGCAGGCCGGAGCAGATGATGTCAGCTCTGCCTTGATGCGTGGAGTGGGCGTGGCTAAATCCCAGATGGACAGAGTGCTGGCCTCCCCGCCCACGATCAGGGTTCGGCCGTCAGGGAGGATTTTACAGGAGCGGATGTAGTTATCCCTGTTCTGAATGGACAACATGAGAAATACAGTGAGGCCTTCAGGTGCATCATGGACTAGTTAGTATCACAATTACTGTCAGTGTCATCTCAGGTTCCTGAGGCAGTAAAACTACCTGCCTGAGGGAACGACCAGTGTCTACTCTGAGGACTGATGTCGTAAAAAACTTTTTCATTTTTCAACAAACATCTTGTTTGGCTGATTATACTTTTAATTCAGAAAAATGATGACAGGTATTTCCCCAGTCTTTTCAGGATATTATTATTATAAGTGCAGGTGGAGAAATGTTTTTGTTATCTTGAGCTGCAAAACATCTAACAAAATTATCTATGATAGTGCAGCACAGAATAGTGAGTCAAAGCCAGACTTTCTTGGACAGACTGTGGGTTGATGGGAGGCCTATGTTGACTTTGGTCATTTTGGAACCTTTTGCAGACACAAAATCTAAAAAATTAAATGAATGTCTAATGAGTAGATGTTGAAATTCAAGTCAAATACATTTCTTGACTTCAATTTCAATAATACCAGTCATAACGTTTTGTTGCAATTTGCGAGTGTAATAACTTTTCTGGAGTTGGGATTTGTTTCTTAAATTTGAATAATCTGATTGGATTTTGGTGTTTTGATTATTGTCTTAAAAATGTATTTAAAAACTTTTAATAAGTAAATCCACATTTAACAGATGAAAATAAACTATATTTGTAACCATGAACATTATATTTTTAGACCTGTTGGTCAACGGAGTGAAAGCCCTAATGATAAGGTTTAGTTTCTCAGACATCCAGGTCATTTTGATCCAAAGCAGTTGAGTAGAAGGCAACTGGATTCTCTTGGTTTCACCCAAACATCTTCTAGAAGTCCAGTTGGCGTTCACTCAACTGCTTGGTAAGAACATTTCTGATTCAGACTTTCTCATGTCTCACCAGACAGTCCAGCTGGGCCATTGGACTCTTGGTGCCCGGCTGGCTGATGTCCCACACTTTGACGCAACCTTTTCCTCCAGTGTAGACGTGACGTGTGGAGGTGCTGATGGTGACGGCACACACCACCTCTCCGTGGTTCAGGGTGTGAATCTGTCGGGCGTGGCGAGGGATTCCTGGGCCCAGCAGGGCGTCAGGGGGAAATGGCACCGGCTGCATCTGCCCGTCAGCACTGACGTGGAACGAGTAGGCTCTAGAGATAAAGAGATGGAAGGAAACAGATGAGTCAATACTTTTCAAAAAAAGTGGAGGTCAGGCTAAAAATAAGCTGATTGTGCTTGTGGAGAAACGTGCAGAGAGATGGCAGAAAAAAAAGGAATCAATCAGTCAATAAATGGCTGTAAAAACCTTCAGGTGAAAACACACAATACTGAAACCACAGACATCAAATCTCCAAGTTGTGAGGAATGATGAAGCATCATGGCCCTGACACTTCAGTGATATTTCCCTGAATCCTGGCAATTACTCGTCTCACTGTAGCTGTGGGCAGGAATACATAATGGCTGATTGTATTACAGGGCACAGTCTGTGCAGCATAGCTAATGGCTGATCAATACACTGGTAGTTAAAAGGCAGGGCTGGCTTTGGATTTCAAATTATCACCAGAGAAATGATTTACTTCACAACAAATGACAAGAACAACAATAATTTTCAGACCGTCTGTAAACGTCTCTCCTCTGGACATTTAACATTCCTCAGTCTGTGTCAACAAGCTTCATCAGGAATGAATATGACGGACTAGAAAGTCCAGGGCACTTTGAGACACAGTTTTGTTATTGACTGATTTGCAGACGGACAGTTGATGCCGTCGTGGCTTTTGCAGTCTGAAATATTTATTTTGCTCACGCTTCTGTTTTAACAGAAATGGAAATAAACTGTTTAACTTCAGCAGCAGCCATAAACACACCAGGAAATGAGATTCGACCCTTCCAAGCAGCTGACGCTACTCAATTTAAAACAAGTTAAAACTTACGGTTTTCCACCAGAGGAGCTGGGCAGAGAGGAGGGCAGCCCTGCTGCTCTCAGGTGAGAACGGGAGTCATAGGCCACCTGGTGGAGAAAAATCAGAATAAATATGTAAATCCTTGCAGCGCAGTGCAGATAGTCTGGAACTTTCTTCCAGACGTTTTTAGAACCCAAAGGTCAAGTTATTGTTCAAATATTATATATTTTACACAAAGTTTCCCCACATATTCTTAATGGTTATGGGTTTTTTTTCAAGTGTTAGCACATCGTCTTGTGAAATTTTAAAAAAGTTAAGTCAAATGGTTAACATAATTTAGCACATTATCAAAACAAACAACAAAACTTGTAAAAACACACATCAGTGACTCAGGAGTAACCCCAGGTGTTAAAGATGTTTTTCTAACATGAGAAACTGTTAAAAAAAAACCCCATAACAACAGCTGATGAGGGCGTTTTAGGATCTGCTTTACTCCCATAAAGGTATTTGATGTCATAGGGGTGAACTCCTAGCACTCCCATGTGTAACTCAGGGTTCCGCGGGTGGAATGTCAGGGAGGTGTAAAAACTGAGACATGAATTTGAGCCCAAGTGATCATTAAAGGACCGTCAATCACATTGACTCTAAGATTAATGTGGTAAAAGACAGTTTAACAGTACGGTAATGCATTCACACTAACAACATACAAGCAAACAGTCCTGTATGTGAACTACAAAACTATAATTTTGCGAATCTTAAACGTGAAAATTAAATCACTTGTATTTGTCCAATTGACAACTAAACAAGAGTGTCAGATTTAAGGAGTTAAAAATGCTCAAATCAATAACTAAACCTATATTTAACAAGACCTATAAACGTTGACAATAAAAGTATTTTTATCTATGTTTCAGTCTAATATTTTAGTATTCATTAGTTGACAAATCATTTCAGACATCCTTTTTTTAAATGTTGCAAATCCACCTTTCAAAAAGATCCAAGGTCACTAAAGGTATCCTGCACTTCAGTTTGGACACATTAATTACATTTTGTTTTACATATCTGTTACTTCTGTCAGCACGAATCACAAGATTTGAATAATCATGACTGGATTTCTGATAGAGCACATTCACTGAGCTTTGAGGTCAGAAGGTCAGACCTGATGCTGAATCATAAATCAAACCCTGACAGAGCACAATAACCGCGACCTCTTCTCACCATGGAGCTTCGAGAGTAGGCGCTGGCTGCTGCACTGATTTGCGGGGAGAGGGTCAGAGCTCCACCGAAACCTCCTGGACTCGCCAGCTCCCCGTTCAGTCCTGCGTGGGATACCACGCCAAAATGAGCTGGGTATGAACCAGGGGGCACAGACAGGGGGCTGCGGAGAGCTACGGACAGAGGGAGAGAGGAAGGAGGGATGGGAGTAAAGGAGGGAAACACGATGGTCAAGGACAACACACTTACAGGAGTACGATAATACTGTTAGCTTTTTTCCCACCACTCAACTCATGTTGCTCACAATTTGAGGTCAAAGCTGACTTTGGATTCACTTCTGCTACGGTTTAATCAGATTCTGCTACAGAGCAGTGATATATGTAGGAATAAGGTCATGCCAAAGGTCGTGACAAAGAGAGGGAGGAAAAAACGAGGGTCAGACAGACAACTATTAGCTTTAGCAATAGTGTCAAACAAAAAAAAACTTTCCCAAAAGAACTTTTTCGAGGTGTGTAAAAGGCGAGTGCAGAGGAATCTAATGTAAAACCTGGAGAATACTGTGAAGAAAGCAAAAATATTACAACTTATTATTAATGCAGTGATAACTGGGAAGTACTAGGTCTGATCTGGAGTCTACTGAAACATTTCAAATAAATGTGACAGACGAGGTGATCTAAGGCAAGATTTTATTTCCAGCATCTTTGCCAAAGTGCTGCCTCAGTGTGAGATCCAAATTGGTTTTCGGTTTTGCATCGGTAATATTATTTTACTATAATATTGACTGAAAATACTTGTAAAAATCCTCATTTTTTAAAGGAGGATTTATATCAATATTATAAATATAAAATTTGAATTTGAATATAAAAACTGTCCAGTAAGGCAAGAGGAGTTTTTCTTGTGAATTTAGATTAAAATAAGCCTGGACATGGAGCTCCTTCCTGCTCGTCTTACCGAGGGGGTCTGCGCTTGTTGCTGCTTTGCTGACCAAACGAAGGCAGGAGGTGCTGGGACCAGGAGCTCCTGGGGCTCCTGTTGCTCCAGGGGTGAGGGCTTCACGATGAGACGGGGACGGGGTGCTGGACTTGGACAATGGAGACTGGGATTTATCCCCCTGACGAGAAATCAAAGTTAATTTTAACAAAGCAGTCACAGCTAGAAAACCTCATAAGAGTGTTACAGTGAGATGCTGTGAATCCACACACACTGGCTACAACACCTCACTATTTTAAACTGGTTCAACGGTGATTTAATGGTGCAGACAGTTGTTTGGTCCAGTGAGTCTGTCCTACCTGAACAGAGTCCTTGGACTTGCCCGGGGTTGGGCTGCGGGGGTTCGGGGTGGTCGGACCTTCTCCTGCACTTGAGATTCCTGGGAGCTCTTTCCTTAAGGAAGGAGCCCGGTCTAAACCATTCCCGTGGGGGGAGTGTGGGGGGCTGCCTGCAGGGGAGTTGGGCTCCTGAATGACAGAGACAGAACAGTTAAAACGTGAAGTTTTCTTTCGGTCTTGGTCCTGAAGACACTGAATCCACACTAAGTCCATTAAACAACACACTTACAGGAGTACGATAATACTGTTAGCTTTTTTCCCACCACTCAACTCATGTTGCTCACAATTTGAGGTCAAAGCTGACTTTGGATTCACTTCTGCTACGGTTTAATCAGATTCTGCTACAGAGCAGTGATATATGTAGGAATAAGGTCATGCCAAAGGTCGTGACAAAGAGAGGGAGGAAAAAACGAGGGTCAGACAGACAACTATTAGCTTTAGCAATAGTGTCAAACAAAAAAAAACTTTCCCAAAAGAACTTTTTCGAGGTGTGTAAAAGGCGAGTGCAGAGGAATCTAATGTAAAACCTGGAGAATACTGTGAAGAAAGCAAAAATATTACAACTTATTATTAATGCAGTGATAACTGGGAAGTACTAGGTCTGATCTGGAGTCTACTGAAACATTTCAAATAAATGTGACAGACGAGGTGATCTAAGGCAAGATTTTATTTCCAGCATCTTTGCCAAAGTGCTGCCTCAGTGTGAGATCCAAATTGGTTTTCGGTTTTGCATCGGTAATATTATTTTACTATAATATTGACTGAAAATACTTGTAAAAATCCTCATTTTTTAAAGGAGGATTTATATCAATATTATAAATATAAAATTTGAATTTGAATATAAAAACTGTCCAGTAAGGCAAGAGGAGTTTTTCTTGTGAATTTAGATTAAAATAAGCCTGGACATGGAGCTCCTTCCTGCTCGTCTTACCGAGGGGGTCTGCGCTTGTTGCTGCTTTGCTGACCAAACGAAGGCAGGAGGTGCTGGGACCAGGAGCTCCTGGGGCTCCTGTTGCTCCAGGGGTGAGGGCTTCACGATGAGACGGGGACGGGGTGCTGGACTTGGACAATGGAGACTGGGATTTATCCCCCTGACGAGAAATCAAAGTTAATTTTAACAAAGCAGTCACAGCTAGAAAACCTCATAAGAGTGTTACAGTGAGATGCTGTGAATCCACACACACTGGCTACAACACCTCACTATTTTAAACTGGTTCAACGGTGATTTAATGGTGCAGACAGTTGTTTGGTCCAGTGAGTCTGTCCTACCTGAACAGAGTCCTTGGACTTGCCCGGGGTTGGGCTGCGGGGGTTCGGGGTGGTCGGACCTTCTCCTGCACTTGAGATTCCTGGGAGCTCTTTCCTTAAGGAAGGAGCCCGGTCTAAACCATTCCCGTGGGGGGAGTGTGGGGGGCTGCCTGCAGGGGAGTTGGGCTCCTGAATGACAGAGACAGAACAGTTAAAACGTGAAGTTTTCTTTCGGTCTTGGTCCTGAAGACACTGAATCCACACTAAGTCCATTAATGCCTTCCATTATTTGATGTATTTTCTGTGAGGAACAAAGCTGCTGTCACAGCACTTATTTAATTTCATGGACAATTTGGTTGATAAGGCATTTAAAAAGGGTACTCTCTAGGACACTGACCAATCAGGTGGTGATGTCTGTGACACAAAATTTCAGTGTTTATGTTTGACTAAATTTAATTTTTTTTTTTTTTTTTTTGACTTCTTTCTGTCTGGCCTAAATTTCAGCTATCTATATTATAATTTAAAAAAATATCAATGATATTCATGCTACCATGCTTCCCTCTTTGAATATAATTTTGAATTATTTTAGAATATTAAATATATTTGTGGGGTCTTTTGTTTTTACATACAGTATTCTTGTAGTTTTTTTGGTAACCCGTAACAATTTAAAAGTGCACTGCATATTTTATATACTGCCAAATTCTTTCTTTTCATTTGTTCTTTCTATTCATTTGTTTTTGTAACATCTGGACTTGGTTAGATTTTCACTAACTTTAATAATTTTCTGGGATAGCTTCTGGGCTAACAGTAAGCACATTACTGTGATTGCGATTGTACCATAACCTACAGATGACCTTCTGGTTTTCATTGACGTTAATACCTGGCTTTCTGTTTTATCTGAAATCAAAAATGACCAAATATTTGTATCGGCCTTAATTATCATCACGTGTGTTACAGACACAGTTGATGAGGCTACATTAGAGAACAGATCCTCTAAATATGTTGAAAAACTCTCGGACAAAGACAACATTTTTGTAAAATAAACTCTTCCAGTCAGTCTTAACTAGAGACACAACTAGTTACTGAAGACAAACTGAACAACCGAAGGTGAAAAGAGTCATCTGTGCATGTGTGTGTGCACACTGAACGTCTGGCTCAGATGTGAAGGAACTCATTTTTACATTTGTTCCTGCTGCAGCTACAGAGGTGTGTGTGTGTGTGTGTGTGTGTAATCTGGACACAGTCTTATTGTTACAGCTGCTTTAATCACTGGAACCACAGCTTCACTGTTGAGCCAGAGCTGCCACCCCCAGAAGGAGAGTGCTGTAGTCAGCACTTCTCACTGGGTCACAGTGTTCAGCACAGTGCACACACACACACACACAAATCACCAGGGAACACCCTTCCCTTTTTTTTCTACAATTACTAACATTTGTCTCTTTTTCTTTGTGCTTTTGTACCATTTTCTAAATCTCACCAGAGACCAGTTCTACTTTTTTGTGTAATATCAAAACATGGGAGCCTTAAATAAAACATGCAGCGTTTTTCGGTTCGCTGCATGAAGTATTGAATGAACTCAGTTTTCAACAGGCTTAAACGGCATCACGTACTACAAGAGGCTGCATTTATGGAATGAGGAGATTAAAAAAAGGCAGAAAAGCACAAAAACAATAGTGTATATTACTGGGATAATAACAAGTGTTCTTTCTAGAAGGTTGAGTTGTGTGCCGTTCCTCATCATATTAAAAAAAGCTCATCAAATGTTGTGGATGACGTTCATGTTAGATGGATTGCTCTTAATGAATGCAGAACGCTTTGAGCTTTCTTTGTGTTCACGTCCATTATGATGTTTGATGTGGTGCTGTATAGCAGCTGGGGAGCCTTCACCTCCACAGACAGTTTACAACCAGCAAACACAAGCAGAGGCAGCTGATAATGAGCTTTCACAACAACTCTTGTCATTTATATATATATAGATATAAAACTGCAGAAGAAAGCTGAAGCAGCTGTGTACCTGCTGACTCCCTTCACATCGCACACAATTATACACAAGCCAAGGTTATTATCATTGAAATTATACCGATGCAAGCAAGCGTGACATAAACCTAAATACCACGCTGTGTAAGTGTACGGTGCCGGAGCAACATTATCTCATTTCATTTTCATTTGCAGAAAATGAAACTAATCTTCATCTGATTTGATTTGATCCTTTGCACAGTTTTTTTTCTATAGCTGGGCTCCATCTGTCTGAAAGTGAAACTTTTCCTTTCTTTCTATTTGTGCACAAATATGTGGACGTGAATATCTTAAGAAAACAAAGATGGTATTGTTTTAGCAAAAACAAAAGCTATTTTCTGTTTCCCTTCTGGAACAGAGAACAATCAATGGTGTATGAGTCAATAATGAGAATACATCTAAATTATAGCAATGTTTATGTCACAGTTAATTTTGGATCCTGGGGAGCTCTGGAGTGAACTGATTAGTATTTGGCAAAACAGAATGAGCCACAAAACATCAAAAATGCCAGCGTCCACTCCTACGTAACCTTCAGTCATAAATGAGATCAAACCTAGTGAGCCCTTTGATGTGAAAAAAAAGAAAAAAAGCTTGAAACAAGCATCTTGACAAACCCTGTTGTCAAGATTATTACTGACTGGAATTCAAAACTCACATGAGAACCTTTGTGTTCTCTTTCAGCTGGAGTCCAATTGGTTTGAATAAACACTAATGGCATCAGACAATGAGATAATGTCTCAGAGAGTTGGTTTTATTTTGACAATGTATCAGTTTTAATGCCTTTCTGCACTGAGCTGATGCTCCAAAAATATTTTTAAACATCTTCAAATCTGATTTGTGTGGTTATTTAATCACATGCATTTTGTTCTGAGGCGATGTGCCGATGTCAGCGTTGGCAGCATTAAAGCTTCTTTCAGATGTATTTGAATCCCAGTTTCCATTGGCAGCTCTTTAATTATTATTTGATTAAATTAGATTGATCAAACGCATATTTGCAGATGAACTGTTATGGACTTGGGTTATGCTAATTTATGATAACTACCAATATATTAGTAGTAGTAGCAGCTGTAGCAGTGATAGAAGTGGTGATGTTTTAATGAATCACTGGAGACACACCTGCTGACCACGTACGACAGACAAGCTTCAACTAAGATGTTTGGAAGGAGGGGTTTTTTTTTTAGAAAATATTGTGTAGTACTTTTGGCCTAAAGTGTGATTAATGCTCTGCTTTGGTCTCTGCTCATTACTGTAGTAATACACAAAACTCCTACCTCATTGGAGACGTCCACCACGAGGTTGTCTTCACTTTTGTCTCCATCACTGTCCTAAGAAGCACAAAACACAAAAACAAAGCTTTAATAATAAAAAGGAACACATAAGGTAACAGGTTTAAATGTGAATATGACTGGCATCTCTCTCTCTCTCTCTTGCACACACACACACACACACACACATTCTTCATCCATAATATGCTTTTCCTCTCGCCATCTCTTTGAATCTGTCTCTCTTTTTTTTCCACGCTGAAATGATGGCACTTAGTCACCATGGCAACAGTGCTTTGGGTGATCATGGCCAGATATTCCTGTGACATCAGCACCTTAATGACACAACTAGCACCTTTTTCATAGAAGTGAAAAATAGAAAACCATACCAATATGAGGAAACAGAAATCAGGATAAAGAGCCAGAGAGAAAGAACTGAGAGCACGGGGTTAAAAATGAGAGACAAAAAAATGGACGGTGTGATGTGGAAGAAAAAAAAAGACATTGGGAAAACTGGCTGGGCTTACTCTCACTTTAGACTAATGTGAAGTGATTTTGCTAAAGGGCATCTCACGCTGCCTCAATCTTAGTGTCACTCACTCCACCAGGCAGTAATCAGACAACCATCTAATTCATTACAGCTACCTGACCTGCACAACTCTCTTTAGCTTCACACTGTCTACAGCTCCCTGTGGACCACGGACCTTTCCAGACAAAACAAGACTCTGACAGCCACAGGCACTGACCTCCGTCTGACCTATGACATCACAGTGTATTTCATTGAACACTTGAAGAGAGGTTTTAAAGAGTACTATTTCTCCAGGTAATGCAGTGGTTCCCAAAGCGGTTAGCACCCCCTGTAAGAGGGGTTTGGGAAAAAAGTTTGGGAACCACTTAATTAATTTATGCATGTACAAGTTTTGTATTTGTTTTTTAAATTATTATTGGAGAATATCTTTATATGGTAAAAAGAAAAGTTTTCAGCCATTTGGACCATAGAAGGTGGAGCTTCTCTGTATAGGCACTTACATAGGAATGTGGTGGGAGAGATTCCTTATCATCACAGCGCCTCCTCTTGGCCTCAGCTCCTCCCTGTGAGGAGGAGTAGCCCCCAGATGGGCCCTGGCGCTCCTCAGGGGGCTGACTGTCTGTTGATGACACTGACTTGCTCTGGATAAAGACAAAAAAAAAATATATATATATATATAAAAACTCAGACACACTGAATCTCTCTGTATAGACACACATGCAGGTGTAAAACTGTGATCGACACACGTACAGAACCACCAACACTGAGTAAGTACAAGCACAGGTTAAGACTGTGACAGAGAGACAGACCCAGAGAGAGCAGTATATAGACCTAATTAGCCCTGTCCCCTCCACACACTAGTCCCTGTGTAAAATATGACTCTCATTATTGGGCAGTAAGGCTGAGCAGGCACAATTACAACAGGCTGGCCTGGTGCTCAGGACTCAGACGTCACAGTATTGTGTTGTTGCTTTCCTGTTGTGGCGGGGGCCAGGTTGTCGGGGGCCACCTGTCATTTTCTATCCACATGTGGTTAGAACATGAAACTATGAGGTTTTACCACAGAGATGAGTCACTCAGGAAGGAGCGCTGTCAGAGACAAGTAGAAACAACACAGTGGACCTCAGTGAAGCCTGACAAACTTCCTCCTCCTCCTCCTCTTCTTCTTGTTTTTCTCCCTCACTCCTTCCCCTCTTTTCTCCCCACTGTCTTTCTGTCCCCCTTTGTCCCCTCCATTTAAAATTCCAACATGTTTTACTGGTGTGGTGCTCTCCACTAACTGCCAGTGGATATGTATCTCTTCAGCTCGTGTTCCATAAACACGTGTCACGCTCGGCCAAGTTCAGCGTGAATCTGCGTTCCTGAGAAAACTCTTTTCCCGGTACTTTACATTGTGTTCAGCAATTAAATTATGCCAAGGGTTTTACTGCAGATGGAGTGAAGGAGTGAAAGTTAATTCAGTGGCACTCTTAAATCATTTTCATTCTGCAATAAAAGCTGCAACAAAGGCTCGCTAGTGAAACCTTTTTTCTCCCCCTTTTTTTTCACTCTATATTCCTCTTTCATCTTTGTCTTCTTTTTCTAATTTCACTCTCCGTCTCTCTCTAAATCCTCCCCCTTCCACTCTCCCCTCCCCCTGTTATCAACAGCTATACTAATGAATGCCAGCTGTACACTGCAGCCAGTTCAGTTAGACAGTGTGCAGCAGTCAGAGGGAACAGGACGAGCCACAGATAGGCAGGGATTTTGAATAAAGCCCTATAGAACAACGAAACATCTCATTAACACGTACACTATACGTATGCTCATCACTGCTTTACCTTGGAGAGTAACACACACACAGACATGTTGTAAAGCACCCTTATTTTTTTCATATACACATATACTCACCCTGCTTGGTGCGCCCTCTGTCAACAGTCAGGAGAGTGGAATAGAAAAAAATATAGAGAAGAGAAAACCAAAAACAATACATTACAATATAATAATAATAATAATAACAATAACAACATCTACAATAATAATAATAATAATAATAATCCTTTACAATAAAGTCTTGTAACGACAGCCCTCTGCTCTATCCTCCCAGACAACCTCAGCCTGTCTCCCTGTTACGTCTTCCAGCCCTCACCATCTTTTCACCCATTCTTCATGTCATACGTTGGCCTTGAGGCTCACACAGCCACGAGCCCCCACATAGACGGCTAAGGCTCCAGTGCATAACTTCCAAATGAAAATGAATGTCTTTTCTATTCTGTGCCTCAGCAAAAGAGTTGACACAAAGTACAAAACATAATTCTCTCCCTGCTCACAGGCACCGATTCCTTTTTACTGTATGTCCTAAGGTAATAACGAAGGCAACCTAAGTCCGTTTTCAGACAAAAGATCAGTATCTGAAAACCATGTTTTCACTTTTAGACACCAAATTAGGTTTGGAGATGTCTGAGCAAACTTTTCATGTGTGGTGAAATCTGTGAAAAGAAAGAGAGGGGTGAGTTGGGAGGGAGTATCTGAAGGAGTTCAAGGGAATTTTAGTTCAAAAATAGTTTAAGGATGGATGAAAACACCACTCCTCCTCCTTTAACAAACATATACATGAGTACAGAGTTTTAAGACAGCAGTACATCTACATATATGTTTTATTTTTAATCTTATTCACTTGTTTCTCTGTGGCCTCTCGGTTTTCTCCTTATTCATGAGAAAGTCTCTCTTGGCCTAATGCCTGAAACACAGATAAGATATTCTCTCAGGGTGAATGAGAGTTCAAATCTTGCATTTTCCACGACTACGTCTGTACATATTATGACAACCATACAAGGAAGAAAGTCCAAGTTCAGTTCAAAAGGTCAGTTGCTTTACAAATTTCCAAAACCTGCCTGCCAGGACTAATTTACACCAACATTGTAAATGTATCTATGTAGAGAAAATAAAATAGGGAATGTCATGACCATTTCCACTGTTACAAAGAAAAACGTGTGTGCTTCGGAAACATCTTGAAATCTTCAACTTTGATTTTCAGTTTCAAACAAAGCATGGACTCTCACAGCAGAACCTCTCACTGTAAGATCTTACTGTAAAGACTCTGTGTATTGTGTCACTAACTGTTTATGTGGACATTTTTTTTGCTTTGGCACTTAATAACCATAAGATCGTTTTGGACTTTCAATAATAAATTAATTTACCTCGAAGATGTTCAGGGTCAAGGTGGTTGCGTTCATCTTTGGACGCAAGGTGGGCTGAGACTCCAAGAGCTCCAGTCAATGCCAGAAGACCAGAGCCGCCTGAACCTAGGGACAGGCCTGATGGGTGCGGTGTCAAGGGGATGCCAGGGGCATGATGAGACAGGTGTTGGAGCTGCTGCTGCTGTGGCCACAGGGAAAGGAAGGAGTGGGGGAGGGAGGCATGGAAAGGTAGGGAAGTCGGACAAGGAAGGTGGGTGATTAGAAAAGACAAAGTACAGAAGACAGTACACTGAAATGGGCAGCAACAACGTAAGAGAGCACTGAGAGAAGACAGAGCTGTGTTTTCTGAGGCCAGAGGAGGAGGAAGAACATGAACAGAATGGGATTCTAATGGAGAGATCATTTATGAAATAAATAAGATGTAACTGAGGAGGAGACGGGTCAAAGAGTAAATGAAAAGGAAAATGTGTGAGAACACCTCACAGTAAAAGCAGTGAAGTTGTGTAATGTTTTGGGTAAGAGTGAAAGAAAAACACATCAGGAGAAAGTAAATAAAACCAACCAGGGTTTTAAAGAATAGGTGTGGGGAAAATGAGGAAAGAGACTCAAATAGCGGGAAAGAAAATGATCAAATCACAAAAGAAGGCTTGGAGAAATAGAGACAAAAATAAAACACAGAGAGGATAAAAGAAAGAGAAGGAGGGAAAAGGAGATGGATAATGACAGAGAGAGTAGAGAGCAAAACACAGCTACAGATAAAGAAGGCCATTATCCTGAGAGTGCATCATGATGTGCTCTGGTGTGTTGTTTTGTCAAGCCAGTGTGTAAGACACACACAAGCACACACTGTTACACCTTAGAAAGTGTGTTTGTGCTGCACACAAACGCACGGACGGGCGCACTCACACACATACTCGCATGCATTAGTGCTAACAGTGTTTGTGACACAGTGAGGAACAAAGGGCTTTAAGTAGACAGTAATGTGATCAGTGCTCTGACAAGCTCTGGAAAGTCCCTTCTACCACAGGACTCAACAGCGTCACAGTGTGTGTGCGTTTGTATAATAATACAATTTTAAGGTTATGAAACTAGACTATAATTAGTGCAGCCTTTTCTATTTCATTGATGACACTAATGCAAATATGTCATGTGATTAGAATCAACCACAGAAGAATCACTAACTGTTTTTAGTTCTCACTAACTTTACAGAGACTGTTGTTTGAACCTTCTGTTTTCTCATCCTCGCCGCTCCAGTTGCACGCCTTAAATTGCTAATGGTGAAAAGATTAAACCAGCTGCAGCACTGCCACAACCTGACACAAGTGCTCCTCAACACATTATCTAATAATTATATTAAATTATTAGAATTAAAACAGTATTATTTAAGACAGGATTACAGACGATCCCAAACGATGGGTCACACTTCGTACAGTGTTGTTTACATATTATATATGGAGCAAATATACAGAGCAGATGTTATATATTCATGTATTATTCATGTGTGTGAATTTTGAATCTCGAACTGTGCCATCCTCTTCCTCAATCTTCATCTTGGATTACAGTTTTTGGTGTGAATGTATGTAGGCGAGTGTGTTAGTTGTTACTGACGAAAGGAGTTGACTCACCCCAATAATGGCATTCAGTTCAGCCATGGTGACCTGTTTGGCTCTCTCCACCGCTTGGACCACCTGTTGCTGGTGCTGCACATACACATTTGAGAAGAGGGCGAAAAAAGAGAGAGAGGGAGAGGAAAAGGGAGAGGGAGAAATGAAATATCTGAATTTAAACTGAATTTAAACAGTGAGAAATTGTCTAACACTGATATAAAGACTTACAGAAATACATGTAACGTGTTGACACACATATACACACACATAAATCCCAGTGCAGTTTACATAAAACCCATTCTAATCAGTCACACCAACACAAATATGCACACACACAGTCAATATTGATCAAAGTGACAGAGCCATGACCTTCAGGTCTTCATGGACCATATTCATCAGTGTAGACTCACAGGCACACACTTCTAAAATCGATCAATGTTGGTGAAAAGCATGTGTATGTGCAGGCATATACACAATGTACTGATATAACTAGCACTAAACGCCTAGAATGATTTGTTCTGTCCCAGCCTCAATCACTTGACTCCACCTAAAGTCAATACTCCAGATCTTCCAGCTGACTGGGATCTATGTATGTACGTAGAATACCAGAAAAAAACAAAACATGATGTAGGTTAAAATGGTAAGACGTGTTGCATAAAAGGTACAATTACATTAAAAGCTAAGTAAAAGCTACAAATGAAAGATGTATTACTTTTGATTTAAATATAATGAGATATAAATGTCCTGACAAATACAAAATTATCAGTGTCACAGTCTGAGAGCCTTCTTTATGAAATCTGAGGAGTCAGAAACTGAGGGACTCAAAATAAATGTAACAGAAATGTGATGTTGTGGAAGAAACAAATCGTGTTTTTTAAGTTGGTGATGATCTGGAACTGCTAGACTTGCTGCTAGACTTACTTACTGCTAGAGTGAGCTTCAATCTGTGATTCCCAAACACTGTCCTATGGCCCGTAAGCGTGTCGTAACAAACGTTAGGTGTAACATGGGAAATTAGCCAATATACTAATCTGTTTATTAGAAACATTTCACTGCAAATTATTTTTCTTTGTCCGTCTAAGAAACAGTGAAAGGCAGAACAGTTAGATACTCTTTCACTAGGTGGCAGCAAAAGGCTATACAACTGAAAAAGCAAGAGACTAAAAACTGGTAATATGATCACTCCATATGTCTTTCTTCAATTCCTGAAGGAAGTGACAGTGTTGTGTTCATCTTAACAGGCCCTTGCTAAGTGACTAATTTCTGAGTTAATTGTAACTAGGAGATTGGGTAATTTATTGTTACATTTTCTTTGTGGTTCTGTTGGATTTTTGTTTTAATTTCTTTTTACCCCAAAGAAAATAGATAAACATCTTCTTTCATGTCAATTGAACAGAAGAATCAAATCTTGTGAATAAATTATTTGACATATTTTACATTAAAATATTCCTTATTATTACAATACAGTAGCATAACTTGTTTTATACTTAATACTTATTAAAATTAGGACTATATTTGTATTTTATTATAATTACGGACCTTTTATGTGAATAGACCATCTCTAACTTGGTTTAAAAAAATCTGTCTAACAGTGTTTGGTGATGGACACTTACCTCTTGAGACAGAAAAGGGATAATCTGAGCACAGATGGCACTGAGACGCTTTACAATCTCCGCCTGTGATGGAAAAAGAAAGGGAGAGAAAAATGAAAGGAGGAACCAAAGGGAAAAGAGAATGTGATATAGGATCACATTTAACAGTGTAGGATAACACGGAGAGAATGAACACGGAGGAAAACCGTGCACCTTTATAGCTCCGAAGGCCTGCGGTGTATTAAAAACACAGCCCTAATGAGGAGTTCTGTCAGTGACCAGACATTGGGACTAAAGAGAGACGTGTGGGAGTGAACGACAGCTGAGGTGATGGAGATGGAGGAAACATTAGTGTTCCATCCTCATCATCTGGTCTTTTAGCACCCTCACACTTTCATTTAGCTCAGCCTCAGAGCCTCTCATCACCGCCCGCCCCCCCCGGCCCTCAAACACACATAAAACATATGAACACACACACTCACATTCGTGCAGAGCATGGAAGCTCAGAGGATTTCACTCCCAGGCTCTCCCCTCCAGTTTAGTGCCGTTACATTTGTCCATTTCAAAGAAAAAAAAATGTGTAAAAACTGTTTTGTTTTTTATCTCAGACTAGAAAATAGTAAATAACACATACTGCTCGACACAAACACACACACACAACACAGACACGTGGCAAACCATCAGCCCTTAACAGATTACAGCTGCCTGCGTACGCATTACATGAAAACACAAAGGACGGACACACACACACACACACACACACACACACAGCCTCTGCGGTGTGTCTAATTCTATCTGTCTGAGTGCTCTCAGCCTCATTTTGTTCTCTTCTTCTCTCAGCCTTTCTCTCTTTTCTACCACAGCTCTCACACTGAGCCATTATTACCCTATTCATCCTCTCCCTCCCATCCTACCTTCCGATTTGTATCATTTTACCAATCTTTTTATATATATTTTTTTCCTATATTTTTTTCACTTTCTCTCTCCTTTCATCCATCTGCCCTCTTTTCCTGCGGTAGACCTTTTTTCTTCCTCTAGCATCAATCACTTTCTACCTTCTTTCCCTTGTAACAGTGCTGTCACACATTACCACAGGCAGACTCATATTTCTTCCACTTCTTTCTCCCTCTACCACTCAGAGTTTCTCCCTTTCCCTTCCCTCTGTATCCCTCCATCCTCTCTAACGCATGTTCCTGGCACTTGAGGATACTGAGGATGACAGTAAAGAAGGTGATGGAGGGCAATGTGGAGGCTAACACACACACACACACACACACACACACACACACTGAGCCTGTCAGCAAGAGCCAATCTCATCATGGCTTCATAAACCAGCTATCACCAGACACAGCAGCGTTCTCAAGGACAAACACGGTCTTATCAAATCACATATGTGACATTTGTCAAATAAGTACAGCGCGTGTGTGTGTGTGTGTGTGTGTAGGCTGCACAAACGGGGGGAGGTAACATTTGATAACTTGCCAGGGAATATTGCAAATGTGAAGACTTTGTAGATCATAAGATCACATTTGCTTTTATCATGCTCTTTAAAAAATAAATTAACACTCCAGTTAACCAGGCTGTACACAAAGAATATACAGTAGATTGACAACACAGCGAATCGAATAAAACACCATAAGACAATTGTCTGGCAGGTTGAAAATGCCAAAAAAAATTGTCAATGTAAAGGGTGAGATGGTTTTTGACACTTATTACACTTGAACACTTAGTAAAACAAACCATAATGGTCTGAATACTCAGATTCTAGATGATGAAATCATGAACATTCACCAACACTATCTTTTTTTTTTTTTTTTTTTTAAAGACTGGACTATTGGATTTAAAACCATAGAACCTTAGGATCATTCACAGATAGTTCATTTCCAGGCTCCTTTTCTAACAAATTCTGAGCTCAATAGTGTACAAAAACTGCTTTAACCTCATTTTATATTGATTCACACACTTGTGGAATCACGACCCTGACAGTGTGAAACAGCTTTTATACAGTCATAAGAGTTGTAGACCAAGTTAAGCACTTACAAACTTTTATTCATCAACCTTGTACTAAATCTCGGGCTGTCAAGTTTTCGACCTGAGCTCTTAATTTTGCTGTTTCATTATTATATCTTCTATGTTTTATTTCATGCAAATCACTTTGTGACCTTGATCTCTTCTGAAAAACTCTTGAAAATTTTCAAATAAAAGAGGTGCGCACATCCTTGGGTGCTTGAATAGAGCCCGCCCATGGCAAAAATCCCGAGAGAAGCTAACGACAAGTGAAAGAGTCTATGGAACAGTTTTTTCTATTATTTGTTTAATTCTAAATTTGGCTCTCCTCTATGCAGTTATTGGCGTTACTTTATGATTTATCTAGTTAAAGTAAAGTTTAATTATCATTTCTTAAACATAGAAGGAAGGACTTGGATTAAACCTGGTTTGGTTTATAGGGTTATTGTTAGGGTATATTTTCATTTAGTATATGTTTATTTAGCACTCTTTGTTTGACATGTATATGTGAATTTCTTTAAATAAATATCCAACATTATTTTAAAATGTATAAAAAAAGTACTTAAAAATTAAAAAGAAAATATAAATATAGCTTTGCAAGGGAAAAAAAGTTATGTTAAGTTATATTGTATAATAAGATTTAGCATAAATATATTGAGATGTGATTTTGTGGCCCATATTGCCCAGCCGTACGTTGAAACCATGTTCCATTTTACATGAACAGAAGAACAGGAAGAAAAGTTCTCAACATCGAAAGTATACATTTAAAGCTATTTTACGCAAAACAACTTTCATATGAATTTCACACTGAACTGTATACCTGCATGGCTACAAATAAAATTAGCACTGACCTATTATACAAATATCAGAAGGACATTTAACACACAAACTTTAATCAATCACACTGTTTTCTCTATTCTTAAAAAAAAACAAAAAACTCTTTCTATAATGAATGAAATAACCAGGACTTTAGAGCCAATGTCCTAGCCCTAATTTATAGCCATTATGTTTAACCAATCAATCAATCAATCAATCAATCAATCAAGTATACAGTAAACACTACACAGCCCCAGTGTGATAATATTCCCTTGGATCCCATTGTTAGTTATGACGCTGCAGCATCAACGCCTCACCAACTCTAGGATTTAAATGTATTACAGTGGGTGTGTTTTACAATACTGTCATTTTGCGCTGAGTTGAGATAAACTGATAAGTTAGGGCAGACGCCAGATACAACACAGCACTGCCTCATTCTGCAACCCTGGCAAAGAGAAGGGGGAGGCCTGCCAAAAACTGGCCGGATGAAGTGATGAAGGGATGGGAGTATGAAGGGATGGATGGATACGAAAGGAAAGCGTGCATTGGTCAATAAACACCTGAGGGCACATTGACTGCTGGCATGTAACCAGAGAGACAGGCAGAGACTGAGAAGGGCTGTCGGTAAAATAGGACTCAGAGGTTGATGAGAGAAAAAATACCACAGGAGTATTTTATACATGAGGATATAGATTCTCTTAATTCTCTAAAACTACACTAGAAAGAAGGCAACAATAAGACACAACAAGAATAAAGATGGAAAAATAATTGCAGGGTGGTAGTGCAGGACACACACACACACATGCAGAATGTTCAAGCCTGTCACACCGTATACACACACACACACACACACACAAACCAACGCAGATTATTCAAGCCTGTCATTGTGTCTGCCCACTGACAGAATGATAATTTGAATCAACTATTCATTTATATGTCTTGTTGCTGCATAATGATGCAATGTGAGCTTGGACTCATATACACACACTGTCACTGTCACACACACGTACACGTACACACACATCTGTAGTGATATAGATGTATCTTAAATTGCTACAAAATAAAAAATATATATTGATGTTATTTTAACTGAGAAATGTTATTATTACTGAACGTAAGTGTGTTTTAAAAATGTCCTAACAGACAACAACATGTCTGGATGGAAGAAAGAAACCAACTGATGTAATGACAATTCAAAATGTAATGCTGATGTAATGACAAATGAAAATTCACCCATTTTCTTTCAATTGTTATGTATAAATAAATAAATCTAACACAGTAGAAATAACCTAGAAGCCTCAGCCTTTGGCTAAAGACTGGGACTAGACTAGAACACTATGATCCTCTGTCTAGAACCTTCCAGAGTATATTTACACTGACATTTATGCATGTAGCAGACACTGTAATCCAAAGCGACTTACAAGAGGGGGATTGGTCAACTGTGAATAATATATTGTCATTTACTGGGATGAAGTTTGTAACTGTAATATTAACATTTCGATCGTCATACCAAGCATCAATGCTAACATGATTTCTTAGATCCACGGTTGGTAAGGTACCCTTGTACAGCTGTCGATCAGAAACACCTTTATCAGAGCACAGAAGAGAACAGCATACAATTCCCAAACCAACTCTCAGCTCAGCACAAGGCAGAGCACAGAGAGTCACAGTTTCTTCTACTCAGGCTTACTGAGAAAAAAAGGAAATAATTCTCTTCTTCTAACTTTTCTACCCGCTCACTCACCACCTCCTAACTGAGGTTAAACAATGGTTTGAATCCTACACATGCCTTCTTAGTTCCACTAGGTCCATGTTTACTTGATACAGAGAATATACTGTATATACTTTGTATATACAATAAAAACAAAAACAAAAAAAAATTATACTCAGACAATACAGGTGTAGTTTTACCTTGACATGTTTCGCCAGTGAACTCTCACAAGTGTCACGTGATGTCACCAAGACTGAAGACTGTTCTGGAGAGGCACCCAGAGAGTGGGAGACGCCTTTCTAAAAACTGCTGATAAGGACAAGTCACGGTGACATCAAGGGGCACTTCTGAAGACGGGAGCTCACTGTTCAAACACGTCAAAGATAAACTACACCTGGAATGTCGGAGAGAAACTTGAAGCATGTTTATTGTACAAGGTTGGTGGTTCCAATCTGATACTTCAGCCCAAATGGTCAACTTAACTTTGTGTGACATGCTGTAAAAACAGACGCTTTTGCCCCAGCAACGTCAGTCCACGGCATTTTGGAGG